GCTGCTGCTGCTGTTATTTCTATACTGTCCTTCATCCAAAGATCACAGGACAGTTTACAATATAAAAACCCAAAAATATTTTTAATAGTAATTTTTATTAAGTACAAATTAGAAAACATACATATTTACCACAAAATAAAATACAAAGGAAAAAGAAAATACATATAACCAAGGGGGAAAAAATACTTTGCCTCTTTTCATATTTGCAGTTATTTATACCTCTATAAAATGCTATTCACAATATAGGAATGAATTACTCTGGTTTCTCTTCAGATCGTATAAATCTTTCGCCTTTTACTAAAACCCCAAAAATATATAGCATAGTCACAAACAGAAACAATAGCTGCTCCCCCCACCCCCCCACCCCGTTTAAAAGGCCGTGGATTGTTTAATGAACTAAAGTAACATTGAAGTATCTGGTTTCAGATCCCATCTTTACCTTTTCAGGATTCTTTTATGCCCAGAGAAGCTGCTCTTCTCGCTGTTTATTTAGGTCATAGTTGTCGCTCCCCTTTCAAAGTGCAGAGCCACTTCTATCACACTTCCGTAATAAAGAATTTTGAGACCTGCCTTGTGAATTTTTGCTGCGACTTCTTTGGGCGACCTTGAAATGTGCCAGCACTGATGCAGCTTGGGGACTTTAGGAGATTTATTGAGGGCGCCTATCCAGAAAGGACAATATCTGCTCCTTGCTTGGCTGCAGATAGGTGCCCTGTGCATTTGGCAGCACACATCAATGTATTCCGTGCGGACTGTGTCAGTCCCACAACACCTCTTCCTCCGACTCTTGACTGTGCCTCCTAAACTCCTCGCTTGCTGCCCTGTCAGCTACCCAAGTGTCTCACACAACCCTGAGAGAGGGGGAAATGTGTGCCAACATTTGCTCCTTTGCCTTTCACCACCAGGACTGTGGCATCATGCATTTAGGGCTGGCTCAAAAACAATTGGCCTCCACAAGCAATGCAGAGCATCCTTGTGTTTTCAAGGGATCTGGGCTGCACTCACCATTTGAAAGGGTCCAGCCAACTCTACCAGAAAGAAGAGTTTTGGCTTCTATGCCACTTCTTCAATGGTAGGTACCCTTTGAATGCTGCTGTCCTGTATGGTTGAGCGGACCTTAGATGTCACTGTAGATGAGACATTGATAACATGAACCTCCTTTCCCTCTCCATACCTCAACGTTCCTTTAACCTAATGGCACCTGGCTAGGTATAGGTATTGCTCTCATTGCCCTAGTTCCAAAGTCAGATTGGGCTGACAAACCAAAGGGAGAATACTCCTTTTGCTGGTTAAAGTCTGAGACTTCTTCCAGTAATGCAAACAGCCCACGGAGGGAACACAGAATTATGGAACTGTAGAGTTGGAAGCAGAGACATCACCTTGCCAACAAAGGTCCGTCTAGTTCAAGCTCTGGTTTTCCCAGTAGTGATGTATGGAAGTGAGAGCTGGACCCTAAAGAAGGCTGATCGCCGAAGAATGGATGCTTCTGAATTCTGGTGCTGAGGGAGACTCTTGTGAGTCCCATGGACTGCAAGAAGATCAAACCTCTCCATTTTGAAGGAAATCAGCCCTGAGTGCTCACTGGAAGGACAGATCCTGAAGCTGGGACTCCAAGACTTTGGCCACCTCATGAGAAGAGAAGACTCCCTGGAAAAGACCCTGATGTTGGGAAAGATGGAGGGCACAAGGAGAAGGGGACGACAGAGGATGAGATGGTTGGACGGTGTTCTTGAAGCTACCAGCATGAGTTTGACCAAACTGCGGGAGGCAGTGGAAGACAGGTGTGCCTGGCGTGCTCCGGTCCATGGGGTCACGAAGCGTCGGACACGACTAAACAACAACAACAACAGAGTTGGAAGGGACCCTGAGGTTCATCTAGTCGAGGGGTGGCCAACTCCCAAGAGACTGCGATCTACTCACAGAGTTAAAAACTGGCAGTGATCTACCCCCTTTTTGGGGGGTTCAGGTCAAAGTTGTTGAGCTTTTATTAAGGAGGAGGAAAGCCCAGTTTTTAGGGGGGTCAGGTCAAAAATGTTGAGCTTTTTTAGGGGAGCAAAACTTGTTGAGCTTCTTTGGGGGGAGCCAGTGACCTACCACAGATGTCCAGTGATCTACCGGTAGATCACGATCTACCTGTTGGATGTGCCTGTCTAGTCCAACTGCTTGCAATGCAAGAATATGCAGCTGTCCCTCACAGGAACCTGCAACCTTGGAATTATCAGCAAGACGCTGTAACCAAATGAGCTATCCAGTAGGATTATCTTGGGTGTCCCAGAAGCATATATCATAGTTTGCAGACCCTAAAACGAGGGACAGGGATTATCTGACTGGGAAACAGACAAGGACAAAAATAAAAATAAAACTGAACCTTTCTATTGTTTATCTACATTGGTTCCAAATATTTCAAATAGCGCCAACATGCCAAAACCTCATCCAGTGCTGTTGCTCCAATCAGATTGGGAATCCCCTGCAGCTACTTTAAAGTAAAAATAAAAAATGTCAGGGGATCCAATTATGGCCCTCCAGAATCTCTTACTAAATTCATCTGATGTCAGATCTCCTGCATCCTTGCTTCTGTAAGGAGTTATTCTCTGGCTCTCCATGTCAATGTGACATATGGGAAGGAAGTGAGTGATAAATTCCCATAATTTTATTTTTCTCATTCTCTTGGTTGAAAACAAGCAATGAGAAAACAGCCTGTGACACATATTTGCTATTTAAGTAAAAGGAATAAGTTTTTAAGGGCAGTCAGAATATCATTACTCATTTTGGTAGCACCTTGTGTGTGTGTGTGTGTGTGTGTGTGTGTGTGTGTGAAAACTACTTTGCAATGCTCCTCTCATTCAACCAGAAAAACTTGCAAGATGAGTCATTAGAATGCTTATTCAACAAAGGTTGAATCGAGGCTGAGAGAGATTTTTGCACAGGGCCAAGTAGCAAGTTCATAGCTCAACTAAGATTTAAACCTCAGTCTCCCAGGAACGCTAGTATCTACTATGGGTGCAGGAACCATCAGTTGTCATCTTACCAGCACCAGGAGTTATAAACAGTGACTGCTGGAATCCACCTTAGTTTTCCACGATTCAGTATGGAGAGAATGTCTGGCTGCCTGTGATGGAGAGACATCTCACACATTCTTTTGTGCCCGTCTCTCAATGACTCATGTGTACGGCTATTTATATTTCTTGTCTAGCAATTTAGGTGCATTTCATTTAAGGCTATTTGCTCCATTTGTTTGCGGTTCTCAGTTGGTGATCTTAAGAAGCACCTTACTTTCCAGACTGGGTTTGTTTACCCTGACAGCTTCTTATAGAAAATGCATTTCCTGCATTGAGGGAATGAGAAAATGAAGCTGAGTATCTTTTTATGTGCAAAGAATAGCAGAAAGGTGGATGGAGTCTGCTAGATTCTACAGTGCCTTTAACTCATTGGTGGGCAGAAGGTAAATACGGTGTTGTTTATTTATTTATGGTTTATTGGTAGAGTTCTACAGGGCTTTTATTTCAGCCAGCGCTCACCAGAACTCTGTCTCAGCACCTCTAAGGTGGGCGCCATTGCCATTATAAGAGAACAAGGCAGGTGTCTGTGGTGAGTTCCAGCACCTCTTTTTCTAGAAAAAATAGCACTGGATTTCTGGGTGATTTTTTTAAAAAATGATTTTCAGTTTTCTACATTTCGATAATATTACAATCATGTTAACATTTCAAAACTCGACATACTTCCCCCTCTTTCTGCGGTTCCTTAAATTTGTTTTATAAAAAAAATATTTTCTGCATATTCCAAATTAACTTAATTTACTCATTTATTCATTTACTTTAAATATATACTCTTATAAAACTGCAGGTTATTACAGTAATCCTACCAATGTTCTTATCTGTTTACAGTTTGTTAGTAAACATTCAATAAACCATTTCCACTCTTTTATAAAAAGTTTGTTATCTTGATTTCTGATTTTAATCAGGATTTCTGGGTGATTTGCAGTTCGGTGGCTAGGGTTTCTGACTCCCCGTCGTTTAACAATAGCACCCATAGCCTAAATTATGTTGCTGAAATGAAAAAGAAGCATGGCAGGGTGGTAACAAGATACACATATACTGTTAAGTTGTGGGTGAACATATCAGACGACACAGCAATTCTTCAAACAGCTCTTGTTTATTCACAGGCCAGGACAGAACTGAACTGAAGGGCTCAGCCAGCCTGCTTATATAGAGCTCCACTAGAACGCAACAGTAACCATTTTCTGTAACTATCCAATCACTGAACGTCACTTTTGATCCCTTATTTGCATATGTGGACATGAACTATCTACAGTATCCCCCTGCTGGCCCAGGGTGAGAACTTCAATACATAACACAGAGGGGGGGGGGGGAGGGAGGGAGGGAGGGAGCTGTGAACTCCATTCAGTTCTAGTATTCAAAATGGACTCCTGTGGTCAGAATTCTTTAATTCCAAAATTAGGTCTTTTGCACCAAGATCTAGTTGGTGGATCTTGGGGAATGCAACCACAAGGTAGATTCAAGTCTGCCAACCTCTGCTTTAACAAGAATTTCTATATGCTCCCAAAGACCAAGGGTTGTATTCAAAACCTAGCTTTACATAAAAACCTCTAATCACAATATAACCATTGTATTTTGAAAAGACCCTGATGTTGGGAAAGATGGAGGGCACAAGGAGAAGGGGGCGACAGAGGACGAGATGGTGGGACAGTGTTCTTGAAGCGACCAGCATGAGTTTGACCAAACTGTGGGAGGCAGTGGAAGACAGAACTGCCTGGCGTGCTCCGGTCCAGGGGGTCACGAAGAGTCGGACACGACTAAACAACTAAACAACAACAACAATTTTTTTTATTTCTATACCATTTTATATTTTTATAGCATATTAAATCAATAAAACAATCTGAAGGAAGTCAAATATAGAGCATACAGTCAAACCAACATAACAGGAAACTAAAATATCCTCTTAAAGATGTCAAAATAAAACACTACAAAGGAGGTCACCTACAAAATACATATTGTGTTTATTAAAGTTTGATTTTTACACATAGCGCTGCCCACTGCTTTGAAGCAAGGGGATTAAAAGCTCTCTGGGACCTGTTGCCTTGGCAGGTATTCCTCAGGACCACATGACATGGGAAATGGGTGAGAGGATCTCCCATCTTGATTTTACTTGATAGCAGCTCCCTGCATTTTATCAGAGCAGCAGTACCAGAGACCTTTTCCCCTGCAAAGTGAAAATCACACACACACTTCCGGTTATTTGACCTGCACTTCAAGACATACAATTCAGGTACTGGTAAGTCCTACACATACTCCCTTGGGGCAAATAGCAGCTGGGGAGGGTTACCTTCTGAACTCTCCTGTCATTAGCTTTAATTGATGAAACCATCAGTCGAGCATACTGGAACTATTAGAAAGCCATTAGCCTAATGAAGGATGATCTCCTAGCCTTTTCCTTTTGAAAGAGATGTTGAAGGGAAAGGGGTTTTTCCCAGTGATGGCACTGGGCCAGCCCTATCATTAGGAGTGGGATGACTGCCTCAAGTGGCAGATGCTGGGAGGTGGGGAATGACAGAGGGATGTTGAAGGATCTGTGGCCACTGTGGAACGATCTGCAGCCATATCACAAAGACATGATTGCTAGACAGTCACCAACAAGAGCAATGACACCATGGAGTTTCAAAACCTGTACTGAGGACTCTAATGATGTCATATCCCCAAACCTGGTGGAGGGAAAAAGACAATGGGTTAATCTCTATCCCTTCCTGTCACTTCACACTCTTCTTCTTACCTATGATGAGGTAGGTTGCCTGTGAACTGGACTATGGACCTTTGTAACTTTTAAGGATTATCGCCTGTCTGGTTTTCATCACTGCACCTGTTGAAACCTGGCAGTACATGTAAGGTGAGTAAACCTCCTATTTTTCTGGTTTACTTAAACTGTCTGAGAGTGATTTCTTTGTGAAGAGGAAGACATATAAAAGCAGAGGATCCAAGTCTTCCCTAAGCATTATTAGATATAATAATTGCTCCGGAAGGTTATGCAACCTTGTCCTAAAAACTTCTAAAGATAAGCTGTGCACGGATGGTAATTTTCTCCGCTGAAATACGTATTGCATTCTCACAGAAGTGCGAGAAAGAGGGAGGATAATTAATAAATAAAATATCCTCCCTTACTCATCTAAATCCATCCAACAGCCTCTTAGCCTGCCCTGTGGCACCTAATTCCAAGTGCTTCCCTCGGATGCAGAGGATGCTGTCCTGTCAACAGTTACCTTCTGCATTTATCCTTTGCTTTGCTTCAGGCAGCAATATGTCTTGGGCTAGCTTTGGTGAGACAACATAGAATGCTTTTCCCCAACCCAAATAAAAGGAATAAAAATCTCATTTGATTTCGGCAGCCTTTGGGTTTGGTGGCCTCTGCAACTGCTGCAAGATTACAGAACTACAGCAAGTTTGACTCTGTCTGGAAGCAGATAAGGTTGTTGTTGTTTTACACAGAAGAGAGATGATGTCCACACTTGATTTATTTATTGCCAGTATTTATAGGCCACCCTATATGACTGGGTTCCCAGGGAGGCTAACCACTATGTTAAGAACAGATTAAACATTAATACCATAAAAGAAGACAACGGCAAAGCACAAAAGCAGCATGAAATATATATGGCAACGATAAACGAGATTAAAGATAGTGCAGATTAAAAGCCCTGGAAAAGAACCGGTTTTTTTAAAGCCTCCTCTGGGCACCGCAAAGTACATAAACGAGGGTGCCAGGCCATTTTCCCATTCCAAATTGCGCTGCCTCCGCGCCCCAGGGGCTTTTCTCTCCTCGGGGATACACCAGGGGCCGCATTTCCTCTGGCGACGCTTGCGCGCGCTGGCATCACCTTCTGCGCCTGCCGATAAGGCGCGATACGTGCGAAGCAGCCCAACACGTGTCCCCGGATCCACCCCCACCCCCCAAGACCGCACAACCCAAATTTCAACCTCAGGCCCCTGGTGGCGGTGCACGTCTCTTCCCGCCTGTGGCCGATTCGTCTTCCTCTGCCTTACACGATCCACCCCCCACCTCCCGTAATGCTCCCGTTCAGACGTGACGCGCGCTCTCGCGGGCCTGCCTCCGTCCCGTGTCGTCGTCCTCCCACCACCCCACTTGCCGCCGTCACACCTGTTACCCCGGGCCCGGCCCCGCGTCTCCATTCCCGGCCCGAGGCCGCTTTGGATCCCCTCCGGTGCGGCGATGGGAGGCGCGCAACGCCCTCGGGCTCGGCGCACGGACGGCGCGCCTCCTCCTCCTCCTCCTCCTCCTCCTCCTCTGTCTCCTCCTCCTGCTGCTGCTTCTCTTCCCCCGAGAGGGACTCCAATCCCCGAGAAGCCCTGAGCCGGGATAATGCTGCCACCTCCCCCGGGGACACGGAGGGAGGGAGCGAGCGCGCCGAGGGGACGGACACGCGCGCACCAGCCCAGGCGGCCGAGCCGGGGCCGCGGCCATTAACAGAAGCGCAAGCGGGATTCGCTTGGGTGGGTGGGTGGGGAGCCAAGGTAGGTAGGTGGCCGCCTGCCTGCCTGCCTGCCATCCATCTCCCTCCTCCTTCGCCCGAGGATCTCTCCTCCGCCCGCCTTTGCCCGCGCGCCCTCGCTCCCCCTCGCCAGCGCCGCCGCCGCCACTTCCAGGCGAGATGCGGGCAGGAGCGAGCGGCGTGGCTGGCGAGCGAGGGAGCCGCTCCCGCAGGCAGACACGCACGCAGCCGGCGGCAGAAGCAGCGGCAGCAAAGGATGCTCCGGTCGCCATGGCAGCAGAAGCGGCAAGAGGTAAGATGGACCAGCTCGCGCAGCTGCCGGGGCCGCGGGGAAGGGGCGGCCTGGGCTCGCGCCGCGGTCCCCAGCCTGCCCTAGGGGCGCCTCGGAGCCCTTGCGCGCCTTCGGGCGATGGACGGCGCGCTTCGCCTTGGCTGGAGACCGCGCAGCTCTTGACCCCGGCCAGAGGGACCCTCTTCTCCCCAGGACGGAGGCCTCTGCCTGCCTGCCTGAGGCTGCAAGGACCCGACTTCCACCATCTCCCTCCCCATGACTTGGACATGGCCACTGGTGGGCACGGATCTGTCTCGGCTGGGTGATTTGCCCCCACCTCAGCCAGATTCTCTTATCCTCACTTCGGCAGGAAAGGGCACGCCGGCAGGCCTGTGCCGCTCTCCCCTTTACTACCTGCCCGCCCCCCCCCCTCATCCCCATAGGAGCCAACTCTAAGGAACCGAGGTCCCTTCTCGCTCCCCCCAAAAAATATTTGAGAGGGCAACCCCCAAGTTGATAGACACTGTCATTCAAATGGTATGTGTGTGTGTCCACCTCGTAATCAATTTTGCAGGACGTGGCTTACCTGTGTGTGTCCCCCCCCCGTATTTTATTCAAATTGGCACCCTTGCCCCCCCCCAGGCCTGCCCTCATCAGCAATAACCATGGTAACTTAGATGAGGCCAAGGTCTGCCCAAGACAGAAGGATATATAGCGTTGGACTGGTGGCGTGGGGGAGGATGTATCAGTGGGGAATATCCCCCCCCACCTTGATTATTCCTGGTTTCCCCTTCAGCCCCACAGGGCAACAGTAGGGGCTCTTCCTGCCCAGCCTCGGCCACGTTTCCTCCCTCATGCCTACCTTGTGTTTTATTTTTATTGTCTTTTCATTTCTGGGTCATCTTGCTCTGCCTCCGAGTCCCTCCTTTTCTGCCTCTTCCCCGTCACGAGCTTGTGAGTTAACTTGTTTCCGTAGTCAGGCAGAACTTCCCATATGGAAAGACGGCTAGGATGGTGGGAGCTGGCATTTAACAGGAAGCGCCGTGGGGGGTGGAAATCTGCCAGCATAAGGCTTGCTGAGAACCAGGCAGGCCCACATCCCAGGGTAAGGAAAGGCAGGATGGAGATGGCAGCGGGGTGAGGTCTTAGCCAACCAGCTTAGTATTGCGAGGCTTGACCAGAAGTTATAGGAAAGGTGTTGTGTTGCTCGTGTTGCGTTTAGGGAACCCGTTGTCATTCGGGGCTGAGCTGACCCAGCTAGACCTCCGTGTGCCATTCAGATTAGCAGTGGCCGGCGCTGTCATCAGCACGGCGGAGCGTGAATTGCGAGTGACAGGCACAGTGATCCGACACACCTGACACCCATGTTGGGTCCTGCCAGTTTTCTGAGATGCCCAAATATGGTCGGATGCTGAAGCATCATAAAAACCTGCAGAAGCTACCCAGCCAGAAACCGTAGCATGGGAAGCAAAAAACAACGCCTGTATGATGGGCAGTAATGGCTCTGTCACATCACCTGCAAGTTGTTTTTTTTGGGGGGGGTGTGTGGAAACATTGCTTGTAGAAAAAGCTCACCACCAAGCAAGCAAAACGGGATTCCAGGCCGGGCTAGCAACCAGGGTCAGTAACACTGATATAAGGTACTGTAGTAGATCTTTTTACCAGTCTTTGATCCCCTTGTTCACAAGGTGTTCATGATGTGAGTCCCAAGATTTGTGAATTAGCATGGATAGACTGTTAATGGAATTTCCAGCTATCTCAGAGGAAACAGATTGACACTGAAGCAATTTGCCCCCCCTTTTTTTTAAAGGTCAAGCTAAGTGATAGCTCTAAAAACCAAGGCCGGCCACCACTGCCTCCTGCCAGGCTGTAGTCGCTTGGGTGGTCCTTGGCTCTGGAACTATTCCAGGAAGGCTGCATGTGTGCAGCAAAAAGAACTTCCTGGCAGGGAGAGGCTGTGCAGCTGAAGAATATTTTACAGCCAATCATGTAGAAAGAACAAATAGGCCAAATACATGACTCTGGGCAAATTGAGGAGACATGGGTCAGGATGGATTGAGGTTTATCAGCTGAGCTGCGTGTAGAGAGACAGGACTGCAGTGGATGATGGTTATGAGGTCAGGGGGTCACTGGCAGAGAGAGAGCTGTGGGAAATAACCGATGGCAAGAGAAGAATGGGGGTGTGCGGCAGGACTGAGGAGGAGGAGGAGCAGAACTATAGTGGGAGCTCAGGAATGAAACAGCATGTGGGGACTGAGGACCGATGAAAGGGCATCGTTAGGCGGCAACAGCACAGACTTCTGCTCTTTGGGAGAAAAGCAAGTAGGCAAGGCTGCCAGTTGGTCAGGTCACAGGAAAAGTCAAAAAGGAAAAGCACAGGGAAATGAGGGTCTGCTCAGTGGTGCTTTGAGAACCACCACTGCAAGGTATTTCAGTACTGGCTGTTCAGATACAGCCCAAGACATTTTGATGCCCAAGGCAGAAAATCCAATCCACTAATAATCTAACGGACATGGGGGTGCAGCTCACCAGGAAAGTTCTCCTGCCTAAAGGTAGATGAAAGCAGTGGGAGCTCTGTTCCCAGTTCTGTCAGCGGGACTTGCACAGAAGAACCTCCCCAGTGAATTGTGCCTCATGGGCCAGGTGTATCTCCCACACGTCCACCTTTAGCAGTGCATGAAATCCACTGTCTGTGGCACCAGCTCAGCTTGCCTCCTGCAGAGCACAGGGGAGTTGTAAGAGGCAGGGAGAAAACTAGGACCCTCCCCTTCCCACCCACCTCCCAGCAGATACTTTCATATTTCATGAAATTATTCCGGCCTGGGGTGCAAAAGAGCAGGTAACAAGAGGCACATGTGGCTGCCATGTGGTTGAACTCCTGACATACAATTTCATTGTTCGACCGATCCAGCAATTTGGCACACTAGGCTATACACACTCATTGTGTGGGCTGGTGAATTGGGAATGATTTCTGCGAGGTGGGGAAGAAGGCTGGAAGAGATGGAGCTGTTTTCTGACGCTTTCCTTTTTCTTCTTTCTACAGTAAGGTTTCTCTAAACTCTTGAGTTACCAAGAAACTCTGGGGAAACGATTATTCCCTCCTGCAATTGTTGATTGGCTGCCTACAGATTCCAAACAAGAGGAGAAGGTTCTGGCGACACTGAGCCACTGAGAAGCAGAGGATGTTGGTGTCCTGTAGGCACTGAAGAGAGAGAGAGAGAGAGAGAGAGAGAGAGAGAGAGAGAGAGAGAGAGAACTCAGTGGCCTGCAGCTCAGGTGTTTGGTGACAGAAGTCTGGTCTTGCTCCCTGTGAGAACCAGGGCTTTCATTCTGTGCACTGTTCCATTTCCCCATTGATCCTTTATTCATCCAGGAGAGTCAGAGCAGTGTGGGGTTAAGAGAAGGTTATCTTCTTTTCATTTCTTTTCCTTGAGGGAGACAGAAACCAAGCAAGCAAGCAACCTAAGAAGTAGTACCAGTAAATAAAAATGCTTCTTGCTTATCTCACCTCCTTAAAATTTATTATTTATTTTCAACATATATCCTCTGCCTCTGTACTTGATGCTGTGTAAAAATAAAAAACAAAAAGCCAGTTACAACAGTAGTTTAAAACGCAACAAGGGAACCAGCCGCACAAATATACAGAGCCTCTCGAAGAAAAGCAGCTGAAATAGACAAAATGCCAAACCGCTATCACTAAAACTAGCAGTAAATCAGTAAATACATAGGCCAGCAATTCAGGAAAGCAACTTTTGCTGACCAGAGGCTCAGAGGAAAAGTGTCTTACATTTCCTCCCAAAATCCAGGAGGAATGGGCATAGGCTGACATCCTCCAAAAGGTTGTTCAATATTATTCGTCATACAGCTGCAAAGAGTTATAAGGATCCTGTTACTATACGTGGACTAGTTTTCCGTACAGACAAAGCAGGGCGTTAGTACATAACTTTAAAAGGTAGGAGAAGGGGCACACACAGGTTGCAGCCTTCTGTCTTCTTTCGCTAGTTTCTTTGTGTTCTGTAAACAAAATTAAAACAAGATATAAATTTAAAAGATATATAAGAGGAAAAGCGAGACAAAAATTAAAAGAAGGGAGTATGGATCGAAAGAGTGAAAAACAAAGAATGCAGAAAGAGCAGAGGAGGAAGGAATAATAAGGAATAGGATTAAGAGAGTGGGCCCTCCTCATGGCAGCACCTTCCGGACGCTCCTTCGACAGTTCTCTCCTAGTTCCTCCCGGAAGTAGATGAGACAGGCACTCCCTTGCCTTGTGCATGCTCCTCTGTACTGTCTCCAGATCCCAAGGCGGAGGAGGCACAATGAATCGCGGCGGAGGCAGCAGCCCCATGGAGGAACTCTCAAAGGCTACCCTGCACAATAACTCGCTGTGGTGGCTGGCTTGCGGGCTCCTTGCCCTGCTGGCCAACTCCTGGATCATCCTGAGCATCACAGCCAAGCAGCAGAAGCACAAACCCCTGGAGCTTCTGCTGTGCTTCCTGGCAGGGACCCACATCCTCATGGCTGCCGTGCCGCTCACCACCTACGCGGTGGTGCAGCTGCGCCGCGAGTCCTCCGACTACGACTGGAACGAGAGCATCTGCAAGGTCTTCGTCTCCACCTATTACACCTTGGCCTTGGCCACGTGCTTCACCGTCGCCTCCTTGTCTTACCACCGCATGTGGATGGTGAGGTGGCCTGTCAACTACCGCCTGAGCAACGCCAAGAAGCAGGCCCTGCACGCCGTGATGGGGATCTGGATGGTCTCCTTCATTCTCTCCACGCTGCCTTCCATCGGCTGGCACAACAACGGGGAGCGGTACTACGCCAGCGGCTGCCAGTTCATCGTCAGCAAGATAGGCCTGGGCTTCGGCGTGTGCTTCAGCCTGCTCCTCCTCGGAGGCATCGTCATGGGCTTGGTTTGCGTGGGCATCACGTTCTACCAGACCTTGTGGGCTCACCGAAGACACCATAGATGCCACCACCTGAGAGCGGAGGAAGCCGCCTCTGCTTGCCCGTCTTCAGCTCACAGCACCTTCAACGTGCCAACTATCGTGGTGGAGGACGTTAGGGGCAAACGGCGGTCGTCGCTGGATGGGTCTGAATCTGCCAAGACTTCCATGCAGATGACCAATCTCATCAGCGCCATCGTTTTCCTCTACGACACACTGACCGGGGTGCCCATTTTGGTAAGAAATACCCCTTCCTCCTCTTTTCCATTGCCCTAGAGCAGTGCTATGGGGTGTTAGGGGAGGGGTAGTACCTCTGGTGGTGGTGGGGGACACATCATGCTCCTTCTGGGGTAGTTTGTCCACCTTTGAATTTCAACTTACATTTTATTGTTAAAAAGTGCAATTACGCCCAGCCCTAAATTTGGATAAGAGCTTAATATAAGGTCACACCCATAGCTATTTGGTTATAGTTTATTATGTCAAAAGTTGACACAGCAGAGAGGTTATCTAAGGGTACTTGAGGAATTTGGTCTCAACCTCACTGTAAAATGCACCCTTTCAAGAGCACCAGATTAATTTCACCCCGTTTCCCATTTAGAGGGTCATTCCTTTGTGGGTACTGATCACGTGTACCACTCTAAAGGTTGTGAAACAATTTCCACCATAACTCTCTGTCCGAAACATCCTCATACCTGTGTCTGAAAGATTCACCTTAGGGCTCAAATGTTCCATTTTGACTCTTCACCATTAAAAAAAAATACTGCTACATAAAAAGAAAAACTTTTTCAGTTTGTCCACCTTTGGTCCCACTCTGCACTCTCTCACCTGTGGCTCCTAGAAGCTGCTAGCATGCTAGAGTGGCCACACCCAGGAACGGCTTCAACTGGCCGGCTAAACCAGATGAGGGTAGCCGATGGGTCTCAAACCCTTAGTGAGTTAGGGACTTCGCCTGCATGCGAAGACTGGCCTCAGCAGATTGAGAACAATAATGGGTCCAAAGGTCAAGAAAGCGGTTACTGTACGTGCTGTAAAGGAAAATGAGGGGCAGGTGGGGCTCCTCAACCTGGGAAGGAAGCCCATCTAGGAGAAGGAAACTCTAATCCTAAACCTCCACTGCTTTGGGGAATAACTTTGGCTGAAGAAAAGGCTAAGGAGTAAGCCCTACACTGATCCCCTAAGCCAGATGACACCTTGTACACCTCCTTCTGGCAACTCCTGCAGACAAGCTAGTGCCAGACCTATTGCTCTGCTTTTCTTTGACCACATAAGTGAGTCTGAGAGGGGGGTCTTGCCATACGGGTAGCCCAGGACCTCCATATGCACCGCCCAAGCTTGCACCCACCCCTTGGAGGTCACTTTGGTTTGACTTCACCCCTGGAGGTGCACTCCATTGTCTCTTGAGACAGACAGATGCTAACATCAGTTTCCTGACTTTGAACCTTTCTGCACTGACATGTTTGCAGTGAACCTTTGAGACTCCAGCATGGGCTCCCTGTATTTTGCAGAGGATTTGGGGACATAACTCATGTGGGGCATGTGGCCAAGTCTCTTAGCCCTCCCCATTGCAATGTGTCCACTAGAATTCACCCCAAAACACTCCACTGCATCTAAGCATCACAAGGGAAGATCAGAAGCGATGCACAGGGTGTTTTCAGAGAACCCTGCTTGCCATTATTGATCACCTCAATGAGGAATCTCCAGTTAGCTTCCAAGGAACACCAGTGTTCCCTGAAACATAGCTTGAAAACCACAGTTTTAGAAAGTCAACAACCTCCCTGCCTCATTTTACAGAGAAAAATGAGCATAGTTCGACAGAGGCATTGTTGGCCTTGATGTAAAGGGACCCCTGACCGTTAGGTCTAGTCGCGGACGACTCTGGAGTTGTGGCGGTCATCTCGCCCTTCCAGCTGCCATTGGTTTAGCTGCTCTGAAGTCACAGAGCACCTTGGCAGTCTGGGGTCTGGCAGATTTGTTTTTGTTTTGGCAAGCCTACCAAGACATTTCATTTACCTGCTTATACATTATTATTATTTTTTAAAAAATATCTGTTCATGTTCTTAAAGTTAAAGGTAAAGGGACCCCTAACAGTTAGGTCCAGTCGCAGACGACTCTGGGGTTGTGGTGGTCATCTCGCTTTACAGGCCGAGGGAGCCAACATTTGTCCACAGACAGTTTTTTCAGGTCATGTGGCCAGCATGACTAAGCCGCTTCTGGCAAACCAGAGCAACACACAGAAACACTGTTTACCTTCCCGCCAGAGCGGTACCTATTTATCTACTTGCACTTTGATGTGCTTTTGAACTGCTAGGTTGGCAGGAGCAGGGACCGAGCAACGGGAGCTCACCCCATCGCGGGGATTCGAACTGCCGACCTTCTGATCAGCAAGCCGAACAGCTAGGTTGGCAGGAGCAGGGACCGAGCAACGGGAGCTCACCCCATCACGGGGATTCGAACCGCCAACCTTCTGATCAGCAAGCCCTGGGCTCTGTGGTTTAGACCTTGATGTACGCACACTATTATTGTGTCTGCCATTGCCTCTGATCAAACAGGTTTAGGGGGATTTTGAAGAACTGAAGAAATTTACAAAAAACTGCTTACCAAAGACAAGAGTGAGATGCGTACACCACGAGGCGCAGTGCATGTGCTGTTTTGCTTTAAAAACTGAAGAAAACCACCTGTTTCCAGCCTCAGGTTGCATTTATATACTCCTCCAACTAGCCTCTAGAGGGCATAATCTCTGTCCTGGCTCCGCAGTTCCTGTTAGGATTGGCAGATCAAAAGAACTTTTAAGAAAGGAGCAAACACATACACATAAAGAGATGCTATTTCCTGAAACGCGGGCCTTTGATATTTTGAAATAACGTTATCTTGAAACAACAGGCAGCCTAAAGGACTTGTGGATTATATCATAGGTACCTAAGCTATTTTTCCCCCACCTGTTCAGCTTCTCTGAGCTTTGATGTCCATCACTTTTGGCACCCCTTGACAAATTAACTTATATGCATCGGTGACTGCACACACATCACGCACAGCCATGCAATCTCTGTCCTCAGGCCCCGTCTACTGGACCTGCAGAGTCTACCAAGTAGGCACCAAGTGCCGTAGTTCTGCTACAGAAGGAGCCTGTTGTACATTAGCAAAATGCAAAGCTGGTGCTAGGCTTTAGGGGGCGTTTGGCACAGGGGTTGTCAGTAGGCCTCCCAGCCAGGGGAAGCCCTATCTGTAGTCTTGGTCCTACTGGAACTGTAGTTCCATAAATACAGTGGTACCTCGGGTTAAGTACTTAATTCGTTCCAGAGGTCCGTTCTTAACCTGAAACTGTTCTTAACCTGAAGCACCACTATAGCTAATGGAGCCTCCTGCTGCTGCCACGCCGCTGGAGCCCGATTTCTGTTCTTATCCTGAAGCAAAGTTCTTAACCTGAAGCACTATTTCTGGGTTAGCGGAGTCTGTAACCTGAAGCATATGTAACCCGAGGTACCACTGTATTTATATAGATGTTATGGCTGTATAGGCTGGGGTACTGCATTTCTGGTATAATTAAACACACTGAGCAGCCACTAAAGATGGGAGCCGAGTTTGGCTTCCATTTGAAAGTGGCAGCGCTGCCTGCCCTGCACTGAAATCACCTCTGGAGACCTGGTGGGAAGGATCAGTGCTGATTTACGTATAAGCTAAACAAGCTATAGCTTAGAGCCCCACTCTCTTGGGGGCCCCCAAAAAATTTAAAGGGAAAAAAACCCTGGATGTACATTTCCAAAATATAAGATAAAAAACAAATTACCGTAAATAAAACCTACATAAGCAACAGTGTTTTGTGTTGTGTAGGCTCCTATGATGTAAGTCATGGGCCCCGCCTGCTAGCCTGCTCCCTAAAATATCACTGGTTTGCTCATTTCTATATATAGGGTGCCTACATTCTGCAAAGGGATGCGGGTGGCGCTGTGGTCTAAACCACTGAGCCTCTTGGGCTTGCCAAGGTTGGCGGTTCGAATCCCCACAACGGGGTGAGCTCCCGTTGCTCGGTCCCTGCTCCTGCCAACCTAACAGTTCAAAAACATGCCCCAAAAAAGTGCAAGCAGATAAATAGGTACCGCTCCAGTGGGAAGGTAAACGGCATTTCCATGCGCTGCTCTGGTTTCAGTGTTCCATGCGCCAGAAGCGGCTTAGTCATGCTGGACACATGACCCGGAAAAACTGTCTGCGCACAAACGCCAGCTCCCTTGGCCTATAAAGCGAGATGAGCGCCGCAAGCCCAGAGTCGGTCACGACTGGACTTAACTGTCAGGGGTCCTTTGCCTTTACCTTTTTTACATTCTGCGTGTGCAAATGGCTTTAGATACCTATTAGGTCCATAAATTTCCATATAGCATATATTCAACACCAAAAAAACAGCAACGATTTGTTGTTGACAAGGACAGCTGGACATATTGTTGTTGTTTAGTTGTTTAGTCGTGTCCGACTCTTCGTGACCCCATGGACCAGAGCAGACATATAAAGGGCCCCATTACCTTCAGGAGCTTAGGGCCTCATCCAACCTAAATCTGGTCCTGGGAAGGATGCTAAGTGGCAGCACAACAGGGCCCTTTGGAGCTCCTGGGGCCCTTGGCCAATGCCCAAGCCAGCTGACCTTTGGCACCAGGCCTGACACAAGCCATGGGGTGTGTGGAGGGAAAGCCCTTTATAATACAAGGAGCACTGGAGATGCAAGGACAGGCAACTGGGGTGAGAGATTATGCAGGATCCTTGTCTAGTGGAAGATAGGTCGGCGTGTGCTAGAATTAGAGGGTGCCCTGACCTTAGCTGTGGCCCCATGAGCAGCACTTTCCTCTATAAGTGAATGGGAACTATTGTTCGGAATGAAGAGGCGTACCCCATGGGGCACCACTGGGCGGGTGCTAAACCAGCCTTGGTGACCCCAGTCATCTGGGCAAGAGGCGGGTTCGACCTGCTCTCAAAGATATCCCATTGAAGGCTGAGCCTCACCTATTTGCTTTTCCCGATGGCCTTCGCAGGTACAGCTCCGTTAGGAGTTTGGCTCTTTCCTTTTCTGGGGAGTGTGATGAAAACTTGTGTGTACAGTGGTACCTCGGGTTAAGTACTTCATTCGTTCCAGAGGTCTGTTCTTAACCTGAAACTGTTCTTAACCTGAAGCACCACTTTAGCTGATGGGGCCTCCTGCTGCCGCTGCGCGATTTCTATTCTCATCCTGAAGCAAAGTTCTTAACCCGAGGTACTATTTCTGGATTAGTGGAGTCTGTAACCTGAAGTGTATGTAACCTGAGGTACCACTGTATGTGCTTCTAAGATACAAACATGCATTGCAATAATGCTTTCAACATGTAAATAAATAAATAAATAAATAAATAAATAAATAAATAAATAAATAGCAAGCCAGCATCAAGGTAGAAAATCACTTTTGTAACATTTGCCCTTTTTCAGAAGTCCTGACCTTTCAGAGCAAACCGGAATTGCATTTTCCTTTTCATAAAATGTTCTCTCGGGTCCCTGTTGAGTGGGTATAAAGCCCAAAACTGCTTCTCTAGCCGGTGTTCTGGGGGCAGCAGGAATTGGTGGAGTATGACTGTTCATGAGAGTGACAGGAAGAGACAGGACTGCAGTTGTTAGTTTCAGTAAAGGTCCTTAGAATCCTTGTCAGACAGAGCTTCTAATGATCTTTTCTCTCTCTCTTAAGTAGCAGAAACCGATAGCAAATGTAAGAGCACTACTGGGACACGTGGTTTCCAGGGCTTAGCAGTTAGAATATCTACAATTGTCTGGCACAGAAGCAGAATATATGGACTGCAAATTAAAACACACACACACGTACGTTTTAAATAAAAAGACCACAAAGGTCTGGGGACGTGAATTTTGATGCACTACTTTGGTAACATTTGTGTAACCGCATTCCACACCTAGTTTGTGATTTAGAATGGTGGAGTTGCTGAAAATCGTAGTTTCCCAAAGACAGGGTCAGCAAACTTTTTCAGCTGTGAGTGGGTCCTCCGTCCCTCAGACCTTGTGGGGGGATAGACTATATTTTGGAGGGGGAAAATTAACAAATTCCTATGCCCCACAAATAACCCAGAGATGCATTTTAAATTAAAGGACACATTCTACTCATGTAAAAACACGCCGATTCCCGGACTGTCCACGGGCTGGATTTAGAAGGCTATTGGGCCTTAGTTTGCCTACCCATGCCCAAAGACAAAGTCCAGATCAGCCACTGCTCTTTACATTATTCTAGCAACGATTAGCATTTGTTTGTTTTTAAAGTGCTGTGTTAGTGCTTGTTTGCGATGAATCAAGTTGCCTGACACTTGCCAGGAGCGGAAGCTGAAATGCTGCGAGTCAGCATTCAACTCATTGATCTGATTGCACCGAGGTGCACAAATTCAGTTCCTCCTGTGGTGAACTAGTTGAATGAGCTTTTTGCAGCGAGCACCAGGCACAGAATAAAGTCTCTGCTGTGAGTGGGGCAGGTATGCGAACTAGCTCACAAGTTACAATGCTTCCATTAATGTTAGGAATGACTCCCATGTTAATGCAGGAGCTTTGCCAAAAATATTTCACTTTCGGCTACCAACTGCATTTTGCAGGCACCTCTCACACAGCCCAAACAGAAGTTAAGGGAAACTCTCAACAACGGCCATGGAAAATTAGTGTAGAAACCAGAGAGTTTAAATGCTGCTCTGTTGGGTGGGAGAATCCACCATCTTTTCAGCAGCCCCAGTAAACCCCAATATGGATTTTCCCAGTTTACTTTAGAACATATAGAATTCTCATCAGGGCCAGTCCAGGCAAGGCTGCCTCAGGTGGCAGAAATGATAGTGGCAGCAGATCTGGCCTCCAAGGAATGCATTACCCGCTGTTGCTGGTTCCCAGATTCCCAATGTAGATCTTTACTCACCCTTATTTTTTTATTTTTTTAAAGTAATATTTATTAAGAGTTTAAAGATTACAAAAAGAAGAAAAAAAGTTAAACAAAGCAAAACAATACAATACAATAGAAGAAAAACAAAAACACTACTTATCTTAACAAAACAAAAGCAAGAACAGAAACAATTAAAAACACATCCAATATTTCCATATCTTGTCTTTCATTTACTTGTTTCAACGACCTCCTCACACCTCCCTTTTTTGTATTCCAGTTCAGTTAGCTATTTCAGCAAATCCTTTCCATCTTTCTCATTTTTTGTCCTATAATTTATCTTAACCCAATCTAACCTTATTTTTTCCCCTTTGGCCCATTAAACAATCTATTCTTACTTAATTCTTTATAACATTCCTACTAAAGCCATATAGCTTCATTCCAACATCCTTCTAACATTCATTAATTTTACAATGTTTCTGTAAATAGTCTTTAAATTTTTTCCAATCTTCTTCCACCGACTCTTCTCCCTGGTCTCGGATTCTGCCAGTCATTTCCGCCAATTCCATGTAGTCCATCAACTTCATCTGCTCACCCTTCTTCCATGCCCCCCCCCCTACATTTTGTAGTTTGACTCAGGTGCGAAAATTTCTTGAGCTAGCCCTGATTTCAGTGTAATTTATATGCCAAGAAGCATACCTTCAGTATACCTGAAGGAGCGTCTCCACCCCCATCGTTCTGCCCGGATGCTGAGGTCAAGCGCTGAGGGCCTTCTGGTGGTTCCCTCATTGCGAGAAGCAAAGCTACAGGGAACCAGGCAGAGCACCTTCTTGGTAGTGGCGCACGCCCTGTGGAACGCCCTCCCACCAGATGTCAAAGAGATAAACAACTACCTGACATTCAGAAGACATCTTAAGGCAGCCCTGTTCAGGGAAGTTTTTAATGTATGACATATTAGTGTATTTTTGGTCTTTGTGGAAGCCGCCCAGAGTAGCTGTGGAAACCCAGCCAGATGGGCAGGGTACAAATAAATTATTATTATATTATTATTATAAGCAAAAAGTGATAACAAACATCACACTTATGAAATGATACACCATGAAGCAAAACAAGCCTCTCTTTAATCTGCTCCAAAACCATCATCAATTAACTCAAATATTATTTACGAATACAGTGGTACCTCGGGTTAAGTACTTAATTCGTTCCAGAGGTCCATTCTTAACCTGAAACTGTTCTTAACCTGAAGCACCACTTTCGCTAATGGGGCCTCCCGCTGCCGCTGTGCCGCCAAAGCACTATTTCTGGGTTAGCGGAGTCTGTAACCTGAAGCGTATGGAACCTGAAGTGTATGGAACCCCAGGTGCCACTGTATGATGGTACCTCAGTTTATGAACTTAATCTGTTCTGGAAGTCCATTCTTAAACCGAAACTGTTCTTAAACTGAGGCATGCTTTCCCTAATGAGGCCTCCTGCTGCCGGTGCCCTTCCACTGTTTGGATTCCATTCTTAGACCGAGGTAAAGTTTGCAAATCGGGACACTACTTCCGGTTTTGCGGAGTTCATAAACCGAATCGTTCGTAAACAGGGCTGTTCTTAAACCGAGGTACCACTGTATTAGCTTTGTCTGGTACATTCCGTAACATAGTTCACATGATTTAACATAATGGAATGGATAAATGAGCAAGATTATGCAAGCAATTGTTTATTTATAATGGCATTATTTACTGTATTTTTCTGTGCATAAGACTAGCTCTTTTTTTTACCAAAAAATTAGGTTTAAAATTGGGGCTCATCTTGTACACGGGTAGTGCTGAGGGGTGTTTTCTTAATTTGGAGTCCCCCAAAACAGGGGGCGTCTTATACATGAGGGCATCTTATACACGAAAAAATACAGTATTTGCACATTCAAAACACAAGTCAATATTTTTTTAAGCGAGTGAGTGGCTTTCCACTTCTATTGCTTCTAAAAATGATCACTGCTTGTTATATGCAAACAAACAAACAAATGTACAAAATACACAGAAGCCAAAGACTCAAGAGGGCAACCATTTCTCCTAGGTAGTTTTCTTTCCCATGCCTGGAAACACAGATGCTTAAAACACTTTGCGAAGGTGTGGAAGAAAGGAAGCATATAGGTGTGGAAACGTCAAGTCGTGTGACATAATGTAAAGCACTTATGTGAACGATGGTGAGGAACATGGCGCACGAGCCTAAGGCACATATGAAGCTGAGTTATTTGATGAGTGTGTGGAAGAGGGTTAAGCAGCAAGCCCAGGGCCAGCTCAAGACATTTTGCCGCCTGAGGTGAACTGCGAAATGGTCACACACACACACACACACACACCCGCCGGGGAAGAAGGGATGAATGAAGATCTGTATCAGGAACAAGGGGGGAATGAAGATTTACACCAGGATCTGCTGCCCCAGTGGATCTTGCCGCCTGAGGCGGTCGCCTGACCTTGTCTCATGAGTGGGCTGGCCCTGAGGAAGACATTTTGCTTTAAACTACATTATTTAGTTGGGGCATGTACAGAAAATTCTTGTATACTACACTAACTTTGCGGTGGGACGGGGGGATATATCAAGTATTATAGGGACCACTTGCTGGTAGGTAGCGTTGGGCATTAAATGCTACAGTGCAGCAGTGTTGCTGCTTGGGTAAATGTAAACATCATGAACTGTGATTGCTCTTTCTTCAGCTTTTCTTCTGTGTGTATTGGGTGGGGGGACCTGTCTCCAGACTTAGCTGTGAATGTTGTTGTTTAGTCGTTTAGTCGTGTCCGACTCTTTGTGACCCCCTGGACCAGAGCACGCCTGGCACTCCTGTCTTCCACTGCCTCCCGCAGTTTGGTCAAACTCATGCTGGTACCTTCGAGAACACTGTCCCACCATCTCATCCTCTGTCGTCCCCTTCTCCTTGTGCCCTCCATCTTTCCCAACATCAGGGTCTTTTCCAGGGAGTCTTCTCTTCTCATGAGGTGGCCAAAGTCTTGGAGCCTCAGCTTCAGGATCTGTCCTTCCAGTGAGCACTCAGGGCTGATTTCCTTCAGAAAGGAGAGGTTTGACCTTCTTGCAGTCCATGGGACTCTCAAGAGTCTCCTCCAGCACCAGAATTCAAAAGCATCCATTCTTCGGTGATCAGCCCTCTTTATGGTCCAGCTCTCACTTCCATACATCACTATAGCTGTGAATAGGGAGCCTGATGGTGGAATGTTACTCACAATGTCCCCGTCCTCCTTTCCTTTCTGGTTTCAGGTGGTGAGCTTCTTCAGCCTGCGCTACGACACGGCTCCCACCTGGATGGTGCTGGCTGTGCTCTGGTGCTCCATGGTGCAGACGCTGCTCTTGCCATCCTTCATCTGGTCCTGCGAACGCTACCGGGCTGACGTCCGGACTGTGTGGGAGCAATGCGTGGCAATAATGTCAGATGACGACGGGGAAGACGGTGAGCTGCTCCAGTCCCGTGTTCTCTCTACGCTAGAGGAGGCTCTGTGTATTTTCCTTCCTTCCTTCTTCCTCCCTCCCTCCCTCCTTCCTTCCTTCCTTCCTTCCTTCCTTCCTTCCTTCCTTCCTTCCTTCCTTCCTCCTTCCTTCCTTCCTTCCTTCCTCCTTCCTCCTTCCTCCTTCCTCCTTCCTTCCTTCCTCCTCCCTCCCTCCCTCCCTCCCTCCCTCCTCCTTCCTTCCTTCCTTCCTTCCTTCCTTCCTCCCTCCCTCCCTCCCTCCCTCCTTCCTTCCTTCCTTCCTTCCTTCCTTCCTTCCTTCCTTCCTTCCTTCCTTCTTTCTTTCTTTCTGCAGGTATGGCTGGGTTTTTTTCCCTCATTTTCACTCTTTTATTTATCTTTTATACATTTATTTACATTTTATACATTCTTTCTTTAAAAATTATTATTATTGACAAAGTCATAATCATAAATAAATAAGAATAAAAATGCGCATCTCACCCCCGAGAACATTCCATTGTAATTATCCAACCTCCCCAAATTTCAACACCTCTTGCAATGGTTTGACCCCTTTCGGTTTTAACAGTACAAATTCACCAAATTCCTTCCGTATCTCCTCAAAATCATTTCTTCTGCATGTTCCCCGTCTTGCCTTAATAGCACATGTTAATTTATCATTAATAGCTTTATCCCACACCTTTTTATACCATTCTTCCATTTTATATTCTGCTTGCCCCTTCCACTTCCTGGCTATAATAATTCGTGCAGCTGTCAATAAATATATGAGCAAGTCCTTCATAGTCTGCGAACCTTCCACCCCATCGTAAATTGATAATAATGCTTCTTCAGGACTTTTGGTCACCTTTAACCCAGTGATTTCATTTATCTCCTTAAACACCCTTTGTGTTCTTTCTTTCTGCATTCTCTCTCTATAGCAGGAGGAAGTGGCAAAACTCTGGAGAGGGTGGGGAAGGAAAAAGAACAATGGACAACGCTTTGTGGGATCTGCAGCTGGAATTGGGGGCAAATTAGTCAGGAGATCTATGACTGAATTTCCCATATTTGTTTGCTTTTTGAAAAATAAACGCAGGCATGAGTGGGGCTGCAGAAATGAGGGTTCAGGGGTTTATCCTCCCCCCCCCTGCACATTTTCCCCAATCTAAATCCCCACAGTGGAAAACATACAGATACCATATTGTCGTCCCCCCCCGCATTGCAGCTACATCTACCTTTTACAAAACAGCATAGATTTTATCACAGATCATCCAGCGTCACAGCCAATCTAGTCCCTAGCTAATGGAAGATGGTTAGAACAAAATGGGTTCATCTTCTGGATGAGCCAGGTGTTAGTTAAATTGGTGTTCGCTCATGGTGATTGCATCAGCTGCTGTTGAAATACTAGAAAAATGGCATTAAAAGCATCAAGCAGTTTAAATAGCAGTAGGTATAGGCAGATAAAACTGGATGTATCGAGGCAAAGGAAAAAATTGTGTTTGCAGAGGTTTTCTTCTTGAGGGGCTACTGTCATATCACCAAAAAAAGGAAAATGCATCACAAAAAGAGGCATAAGAGGACACAGATTTGCAATGTTATTTTTTGTATATTAGCTTACATAAGGTAAAGAGTAAATGGACCCCTGACCATTAGGTCCAGTCGTGGCCGACTCTGGGGTTGCAGAGCTCATCTTGCTTTACTGGCCGAGGGAGCTGGCGTACAGCTTCCGGGTCATGTGGCCAGCATTATTAAGCCGCTTCTGGCGAACCAGAGCAGCACATGGAAACACCGTTTACCTTCCCACCGCAGTGGTACCTATTTATCTACTTGCACTTTGACGTGCTTTTGAACTGCTAGGTTGGCAGGAGCAGGGACTGAGCAACGGGAGCTCACCCCGTCACGGGGATTCGAACCACCGACCTTCTGATCGGCAAGCCCAGAGGCTCTGTGATTTAACCCACAGTGCCACCCGCGTCCCATTAGCTTACATAGATTGATGCAAATTTGGAAGTAGTTACTATAATTTGAAAAGTAATACAGTGTGATGCATGGTAGGGAAGGCTGTGAGCAGGTAAGCTGTGTCCCTGCTCTGTCTGCTGCTCTCCCTTCCCAGAGTTTATTATCTTTAAAACCATGGGTCAGATTATATCACTTGACCTCTCAGTGGACCAACTAGGAGATAAAGGCTTTGAACCTGTCTTCATTATTTAAAATGAATATAAAAGTGAAGAGTCGTGTAAGAGACGAACAACAGTCACAGCTGTAAGTCTGGTTTTTCATTACAGACATATACTCCCAACACACTGCATAACGGGTCGGCCATCAGTTTTGCCCTTACTCTCATGTATCACATTTTTGTTTTAAAGTAGCACATGTACATTCATTTGTTTATATCTCCACTCATCATCGTAGGAAAACAATCACATTTCTTTCTTTCTTTCTTTCTTTTTTAAAAAACACCTGTTGCAACATTGCTGAATTTTGTTTCCAGATTGAAACTTTCATGATGCAGGCTGGATGTTACTTCAGTCACTCTCACCATCTTTGTAGAAAAGTGCTTTCAGAGCTTATTCCAGTAGAGAAATGTGTGTGTTTAAACTTAATAGGATAAGGCCACTTTTAAACACCCCCCCACCAAACTAAAAATGTTTACTCTGCCTTTAAACGTAAGCATAGCTGTCAACTTACAGATTTGAAAATAAGGGACCGCAGCCTCAAAAATAAGGGATCAGCAGCCTCGAAAATAAGGGATCAACAATTACTTTGATAAAATACATATTTTGTGGCATGCAAATGGCTTTAGATACCTATTAGGTCCATAAATAACCATATAGCATATATTCAACACAAAAAACAGCAACAATTTGTTGTTGACAAAGGACAGCTGGACATAGAAAGGGCCCCATTACCTTCAGTAGCTTATTTAAGGGACATCATCAGTAAGGGACAGCAGCGGGACATGGCGCTGGGATAAGGGACTGTCCCGCCAAATAAGGGACGCTTGACAGCTATATGTAAGACGGTCCGTTTCCTCTTACTTAAACAGTGATTCCTAGAATATATATTTTTTGGAGGGGGGAATCAAGTACATTGCACTGCCCATCCCAATGCTCCTAAGTAACATACCCAATGACTATGGCATCCCTGTCCAAAATCCAGATGGTGTTTCCTTTAAAAGCATCAATAGAATTGACAGCAGATTCACACCATCACTGTGGCACGGTCAAATCCACACGGGTTTTCCTTGTGCACGTCGTCAACTAGAAATGGCCCCCTATTTCCCATAAGCACAGAATACAAGCAAGGCTGCATTGTGGGAAACTTGACATGCAAGTCCAGCTCATTACAGGCTTGCGGCAATAGATGCCACAGTCATGACGAACCGCTTAGAAAACCAGCTCGCCACAAATGAACACTCCAGCCTCCTCAAAGCGCAAGAATCCAGATGTTCCATGCCTGCGTAGGTCTGCCCTCTGTCTGTTTGAGGTGGGGAACAAGGAGGAGGAGAGAAAATGTGGCAAAGACATTCTTGTCGTCCTCTAGATGGCACTGGTGACGATTACGGTGACGGGAGGATCTGCAAAGTGCGATTCGATGCCAATGGTGCTGCATCTATGAAACGGGATCCCAGGGATGCTAAGCTGCTGCCAGTGCATCACATGCTGTTGCCCCATGACAGGGTGCACTACCTGCAGGTAGGCAGTCCCCTTCTTCGGGGTGCGAGGGTTTGGCTGCCAGTCTGGGACATGACCAGATCACGCTGCCAACATTTGAAATGTACAAACAAACGTTCTGTTTATTTAACACATTTATGGGACTGGGAGTGGCCGCCGGGACCACATAACACCGGTTCTGAGAGAGCTGCGCAGTGTGGGAGTTATTTTGGACTCACAGCTGTCCATGGAGGCACAGGTTAATTCTGTGTCCAGGGCAGCTGTCTACCAGCTCCACCTGGTATGCAGGCTAAGACCCTACCTGCCCGCGGACTGTCTCGCCAGAGTGGTGCATGCTCTAGTTATCTTCCGCTTGGACTATTTTTTAAAAAGAAAAACAGAGCAAGGAAGAACTGAGCAGCCAAAAGGTACTCCAGACTCTCCCACCAACACAGTTCAGGACCACGAATCTGTGTTAGTAGAACACTTGGGTTTTCTTTCTCTGTTTTGGAAGTTTTGTAGCCCCAAAAAGCACATAAAGTAGAACAAAACTAGAAAAGCAAGGATAAGAGGTGTGTGTCACATTTTCTTTACAAAGTGGTGTTACGGGGCAGGTGTGTGTTGCTCACTAAGACTCACATACCCAAAACATTTCTATGAAATTTGCACAGCCGCAAAACTCGAGGCAAATGCATCAGAAATAGTGGCACTAGGTAAAGGTAAAGGGACCCCTGACCATTAAGTCCAGTCGTGGCCGACTCTGGGGTTGCGGCACTCATCTCGCTTTATTGGCCGAAGGAGCCGGCGTACAGCTTCCGGGTCATGTGGCCAGCATGACTAAGCCGCTTCTGGCGAACCAGAGCAGCCCACGGAAACGCCGTTTACCTTCCCGCCAGAGCGGTACCTATTTATCTACTTGCTCTTTGACGTGCTTTCGAACTGCTAGGTTGGCAGGAGCAGGGACCGAGCAACAGGAGCTCACCCCGTCGCGGGGATTCAAACCGCCGACCTTCTGATCGGCAAGCCCTAGGCTCTGTGTTGTGTTTTCTCTTTCTACATATATATATTTGCCATTGGACCTACCCAGTGCTATTTTTCTAGAAAAAGAGGTGCTGGAACTCACTATGAACGCCTCCCTTGTTCTCTTCGAATGGCAATAGCACCCACCTGAGAGGGGAAAAGCCTATATATTGCACGCCGTCCAACCTCCTTGCCCGCTGGCTCTCACCTCCTTCTTTCCTTCCAGGTCCCTCTTTCCCGGAGGATGTCCCACGACGAAACCAACATCTTCTCTTCCCACCGCTCCTCGCCTTCCTTCCTCCACAAGTGGTCCTCATCTGATGACATCCGCGTGCCTACCCCTCACAAACACGGGGGCGTCCCCAGCTTCCTGCTGCCGGAGCTCCGCAGCTACCACCACCACCACCGGCGCCACCGGCCTCCCGAAGACGAGTTCACCACGCTCCGGCAGTTCCTGGAAGCCGGGCTGGTGTCCCGGGGACCTGCCTCGGGGTCGAGCGTCTGCTTCTTCCGCGACGAGATCACCACATTCATCGACGAGACGCCGGCGCCGTCCCCGCACAGCAGCCCGCGCCACTCGCGCCTGCCGCTGGCGGCGCAGCAGGAGAGGCGCCACTCTCTGGATGGCACCGAGCAGGAAGACGGCCCCGAGAAGGATCGCCGGTGTTCACTGACTGGTGGGGAAAACCTATACCTCTACAGCGGAGAACAGGAGCCCGGGAGACGGACCTTGGGAGCTCAGGAAGTGCAGGGTTTCCAGGAGCTCGGCCTATGAAATGGCGGCGGAAGCATTTGCTGGGCTCTGGATTTTTAAGCCAAACTCGACGTGTCTCCCCAGGACCCAAGGGGTGTTTTTAGGTCCTTGTGTTTCTCACCATGTTGGCAGAGGAGGGGGGTGTGCCCACGGCGGGGTCCTGATGTGGTGGGGAAGGAGAACCGGCTTTGTTCGAAGCAGCCACGGAGCCCTGCGCCCAGGTGGCAAAACGTGAGCATAGACCACCGCAGTTCACCGGAGGGCACTTTTTTCTCCAGTTCCACCCCCTCAGTAGCATTGTTAGTGCCACACGCCCCTCCCTTTTCTTAGCTCCACCCATTATGAGAAACGCTTGTCGTCAGCTGCCAAGTGTGGGACAGGAAGGTATTAAAAAGAAATCTATATTTGGAGTGTCACCTGTGCCTGGCTTTCTCTTCTTAAAGTGTGTTCACAATGTTTGTTGTTTTGTTTTCAAGTGATTCGGGCATGCATTTATCTACGATTAAGCCCCACTGAAAACAACTGAGACCTACTTCTGAGTACAGTGGTACCTCGGGTTACATACGCTTCAGGTTACAGACTCCGCTAACCCAGAAATAGTGCTTCAGGTTAAGAACTTTGCTTCAGGATTAGAACAGAAATCGGGCTCCAGCGGCGCGGCAGCAGCAGGAGGCCCCATTAGCTAAAGTGGTGCTTCAGGTTAAGAACAGTTTCAGGTTAAGAACGGACCTCCGGAACGAATTAAGTACCGTATTTTCGCTCCGTAAGACATACTTTTTCCCTCCTAAAAAGTAAGGGGAAATGTGTGTGTGTCTTATGGACCGAATGCAGGTGGGAGGCAGGCAGGAAAAGCCCCCAAGAGCCGCACACAAGCTCCACGTGGCTCTTGCGGGCTTTTCCCCAGGAGGGAGAAGGGACTGACGCAGCCAGTCAGTCCCTTCTCCCTCCTCGTAGAAAAGCCCGCAGGAGCCGCACGTTCCTTAAAGGGTGCGCAGCTCCTGTGGGCTTTTGCGGGAGGTGGGGGTATTGCCATAGCTGTGCACAGCCTCTCCTGGCTGGAGAGGTTGCGTGTGGCTAAAGAGGAAGCCAAGACAGCCAGCGGGATGGATCCTGCTCGCTGTCTTGGCTTCTTTGCTCTTTGGGGCTGGGGGAGGGGGACCCGGGCTTCCCCGGCAGCCCCAGAAGCTCTGGGAGAAGCGGACAGGCTTCAAGATTTTTTTTCTTGATTTCCCCCTCTAAAAACTAGGTGCGCCTTATGGTCCAGTGAGCCTTATGGCGCGAAAAATACGGTACTTAACCTGAGGTACCACTGTAAAGGTAAAGGTACCCCAGTCTTGCCAGACTCTAGGGTTGTGCGCCCATCTCACTCAAGAGGCCGGGGGCCAGCGCTGTCCGGAGACACTTCCGGGTCACGTGGCCAGCGTGACATCTCTGCTCTGGCGAGCCAGAGCCGCACACGGAAACGCCATTTACCTTCCCGCCAGTAAGCGGTCCCTATTTATCTACTTGCACCCGGGGGTGCTTTCGAACCGCTAGGTTGGCAGGCGCTGGGACCGAACGACGGGAGCGCACCCCGCCGCGGGGATTCGAACCGCCGACCTTTCGATCGGCAAGCCCTAGGCGCTGAGGCTTTTACCCACAGCGCCACCCGCGTCCCCTGAGGTACCACTGTAGATACTACTTAAAGAGACTCAACAGCCAACTGAGAAGAGAGGATTCCAAGACGGAGTGTCCCAGTGCCAAGAGATGACGCATGCAGCGCTCAATTTCAAAATGCTCCACACACTCTGTTTCAGTCCTCCTTGCGGCAGGCATGCTGTGGTGGGCTGGTAGCATCACCCCCAAGATACAGATGAGTTTGGCTACCTTAACAGAGGTTGTCAAGAAAAAGGATGGAAATCTTCTCCATCACTAGCCATAAGGAAAGCTCAATTTCTCCCTACACAGCCTTTGCAGTGGCGTAGCAAAGGTTGTTGGCACCCAGGGCAAGACAAATATTGCACCCCTTGGGTAGACCGGGCAGCCTTATGCAACTTAGGACCCCAATACCTCAAGAACTGCCTCTCACCACATGAACCAACCCAGACCTGCCGTTCTCCACATGAGGCCATTCTGCATGTGCCCCCTCAGTGTGATGCAGTGGGTGGCAACAGAAGAACTTGCCTTTTCAGTGGTGCCCCCCCCCCATTTATGCAGTGCTTTCCAGGGAGGCGTGTCTGGTGCCATCGCTAACTGTTTTAGGCACAAGGCAAACACGTTCTTGTTCACCCAGGACTCTGGTTCTTAATTTTAGTGAGGTGAGGCAGAGTTGGATCTGTGTATATACTGTGTGTGTGTGTATATATATATATATATATGCTTTCGTAGATTTTCACGGGTACAGGAATGCAGGTTTTGGTGTCCTCGGGTGTCTTCCCGTGTAAAAGTTGGGGTGTCTAGGCGACGTTTCGACGAGGTCTCACTCGTCATCTTCAGGCTGGTGCTTTTCGGCTTCTGTAACTGAGTTACAGAATCTCTCAAATGTGTTAATCGCCAATGGATACCAGCAAAACAGGGTTACGAAGCTAATCCAAAAAGAAACACCCCCAAAAACCAAGACACAGAAGAAAACAATGGCATGGCCCTCCTTCCTTATATCAAGGGCACTACAGATAAAATTAGCAAAATCCTCCATAAACACAATATCAAAACAGCCTTTTGCACCAACCAAAAAATAGCCAATATCCTCAGAAACCCCAAGGATAAAATCCAGTTGGAAAACCAAGGGGTCTATGAAATACCCTGCAAAGTCTGCCCAGCCACGTACATTGGACAAACAAACAGACGAATAAATGCACGTATCGCAGAACACAAGAATGCCGTCAAAAAAGAAGAAAAAACTTCCTCTCTTTTCCAACACATGAAAGAAACAGGACACGAAATTAATTTTGCAGATTCCAAATTGCTCTTTAACATGGAACATCAACCACAAGAGAATAATCATGGAAGCCATCGAGATAGAGAAACACCCTCACAACATGAACAAGCGTTGACGACACATCCCGCCTGCCAGACATCTGGAAATTAGCCCTCCCCACAAAAACCGACACCAGATCCAGAGGCGCACAGAACGCCATCAACCAATCAACCACACCAGACCCAAACCCAGACCCTCTCCACAGATAAATTGCAGACACCATCCAGTAGCCAAACCATGGTGGCACCTCCGGATGCTGCACCCCCCTGCAATCCCTACACAGGTCTGGCTGGCACGGGCCACAAAGCCACAGCTTCGCCCCTATACACGAAGCCAAGCCAGAGCACAACTAAGTGCAGTACAGCCATCTTCTCAGAAAAACTCTTCACAAAGTTCAAGAGGTCAAGACACGAAGGCTTTAGCAACTAATCCACACCTAATGACCCACCTAAGTGGTACTCAGGATATCACTCAAGAAATCACTCAAGATATCCCTCAAGTAATTAAGGAACAAAAGAAGAAAAGGCACACTAGCCTGGGAACTTCCTCTCTGCCCAGAACATTGGAGGCTATACACCACACCTCCTCAACAGTATTTATAGGAACTCAAACACTGAGATCCCGCTCTGTTCCAGTAACAAGAAGCCGAAAGCACCAGCCTGAAGATGACGAGTGAGACCTCGTCGAAACGTCGCCTAGACACCCCAACTTTTACACGGGAAGACACCCGAGGACACCAAAACCTGCATATATATATATATATATATATATATATATATATATAAAATTTGTATATTTTAGGCTGCTTTGCCCTTGTTCCTTACCCCTTTTTAATGTTTGTTTTTTGTAAGTTGTTTTGAGCTTCATTTGGAGGGGGGAGTAATTAACACATAAATAAATAGTAATAATCAGCTCAGCCAAAACTTAATTGAGATCAGACAAGCTGTACTTTAGCTCAAACGCCTTAGAATATATGAGAGCTCATGCCCTCTTTTAATCCTTAATGTAACATTATCAGATTACTTTGTGCTAGTAATGTCCAATTCTCATTGATTTTAAAGCCAGAGGGAACCATTAGTCTGATGTAGTTTGCCCTCTTACGTAACCCAGACCACAGATATTCACTCAGCCATTCCTGCACTGAAGCCAGAATTCTTGGAGGAACTGAAATTCCAAATGTATGTATTCTACCAAAGTGTGAGCCATTAGAGTTCTTTAAGACCTCAGACCATTTATTTGAAGCCGATTTCCATTGCTGGCAACTTAATTTTTTATTCTCAAGTGTTTTGAGTTTGTACTGGCTCTCGTGCCTATCTTTTTGGAGATATAAAAAGATATCCACCCATAATCACATCACACATTTATTTCACGGAACTCTCAGGCCATTTCAAAACTTCAGGAGGGTCGTACATGTTGAAAAATAATACCTGCAACACACATTGTCAAAATGTAGCCCCGCCATCTTAAGGGAAGAAAAGTTTGTTCATCCCGTTTTATTATTTTTAATGTACGCTGGTCTCGCTTAGGAACAGCGGGATTTAAATTATTTTCAACATATACTGTACATACATATGTATATACATCTATACATACACAGTGTGGGGTAGTGGTTAGAGTGGTGGGCCAGGACCTGGGAGGCCCGGGTTCAAATCCGTGCTCAGCCATTGAGCTCACTGGGTGACCTTGGACCAGTCACTGCATCCGCCTAACCTGCCTCACAGGATTGTTGTGGGAATAAAACAAAGGCAGGGAGAACCAGCATCCCACCTCAAGCTTCTTGGAGGAGAAGGCAAAGGTAAAGGTACCCCTGCCCGTACGGGCCAGTCGTGTCCGACTCTAGGGTTGTGCGCCGCCATCTCACTTAAGAGGCCGGGGGCCAGCGCTGTCCGGAGACACTTCCGGGTCACGTGGCCAGCGTGACAAAGCTGCATCTGGCGAGCCAGCGCAGCACACGGAAACGCCGTTTACCTTCCCGCCAGTAAGCGGTCCCTATTTATCTACTTGCACCCGGGGGTGCTTTCGAACTGCTAGGTTGGCAGGCGCTGGGACCGAGCAACGGGAGCGCACCCCGCCGCGGGGATTCGAACCGCCGACCTGACGATCGGCAAGCCCTAGGCGCTGAGGCTTTTACCCACAGCGCCACCCGCGTCCCTCTTGGAGGAGAAGTGGAATGCAAATGCAATAAAGGATACACCAGGGTTCCTGGCAATCTGAAACAGAAGCCTTGCAAGCCTAACTGGGGATTTGAACCTTGGGCCCCATTTTTGTTGGGGGAGGTCAATGTATAAAGTCAATAAACCAACCTGGGTTTCCTCCTCCTCATAGCCCTAGGCTGGCACTTGACACAGACTGGTTGGACACAGAGGAATAGTGGGAGGAACCAGTTGAGGGTCATAGGTAAAGGTAAAGGGACCCCTGACCATTAGGTCCAGTCGCAGACGACTCTGGGGTTGCAGCGCTCATCTCACTTTACTGGCCGAGGGAGCCAGCATACAGCTTCCGGGTCATATGGCCAGCATGACTAAGCCGCTTCTGGTGAACCAGAGCAGCGCATGGAAACGCCGTTTACCTTCCCTCCAGAGCGGTACCTATTTAACTAGAACGTGTCCAGAGGAGGGCAACCAAAATGGTCAAAGGCCTGGAAACGATGCCTTATGAGGAACGGCTAAGGGAGCTGGGCATGTTTAGCCTGGAGAAGAGGAGGTTAAGGGGTGATATGATAGCCATGTTCAAATATATAAAAGGATGTCATATGGAGGAGGGAGAAAGGTTGTTTTCTGCTGCTCCAGAGAAGCGGACACAGGAGCAATGGATCCAAACTACAAGAAAGAAGATTCCACCTAAACATTAGGAAGAACTTCCTGACAGTAAGAGCTGTTTGACAGTGGAATTGGCTGCCAAGGAGTGTGGTGGAGTCTCCTTCTTTGGAGGTCTTCAAGCAGAGGCTTGACAACCATATGTCAGGAGTGCTCTGATGGTGTTTCCTGCTTGGCAGGGGGTTGGACTCGATGGCCCTTGTGGTCTATTCCAACTCTATGATTCTATGATTCTACTTGCACTTTGACATGCTTTCAAACTGCTAGGTTGGCAGGAGCAGGGACTGAGCAACGGGAGCTCACCCTGTCACGGGGATTCGAACCACCAACCTTCTGATCAGCAAGCCCTAGGCTCAGTGGTTTAGACCACAGCGCCACCCGCATCCCTAGTTGAGGGTCATATCCCAAAGGGGAAAAGGCTTAGATCCCAAGGAGTGGTGGTGGGACAACAATGATTGGTCAGAGGGAGAAGACCGGGAGGAGGAGGTCTTGGAAGCTGAAGAGGTAACGGGGCTTAGGGAGTGGGGAGACTCTTTGCAGGGACAAGTCCAGAATCAGAGATAGAAGCTGAAGTAGGAGAGGAAAGAGGCCAAGAGGCAGAGATAGGCCCAGCTTGGGAAGAGGCACGGGGGTCTCCCCTTCCGGCTGCGACAAACTCCCCTCCCCCCTGGTCTCCTAAAACCAGGAGAGGCATGAAAAGGGCAGAGCAGCGGCTGGCGCAGTTTCCGATTGCTTGGAAAACACCCTGGAGAGGAGGGGACATCGCCAGCTATAGAAAGGCAGGGACCTTTAGCCTTGGCAACTGCTTCATGAGGGCAAGACCTGAGTTGCTATGCTCCTCCGGCCTAACACTCCAGTGCAGATCATGTTTTGCTAAAGAGTTAACTCCAATGCGCTTGGTGCGATTTACTGCTGGCTTGCTCCTGTCAGCACACCAACAGAAGACATTTTGCTTCCCCCAAGCCAAGGTGCATAGTACGCAAGGCCCCCTGAGGTTTTGACCTATAAAGCCTTAAATCGCCTGGTACCGCAATACTTCCAAGGATCGCCTCTCCCCATATGAACCAAGCCAGGCCTTGTGAACATCATCTGAAGCCCTTCTTTCTGTGGTCTGGATGGTGGCAACACGAGAACGAACCTTTTCTGCAGTGGTTCCCCATTTGTGGGCTGCTCTCCCCAGGGAAGCTCGCCTGGTGCTTTCCTTAAATATCTTTAGATGCCAGGCAAAAATGTTTCTCTTTAACCAGCCCTTTGGCTGGTTAACATTCTTATGGCCCATTCTATGGGAGGAGAGATCATTGCTTTGTCTTTGTCTTTGTTCTATTATGCATTTTGTCTTCTCATCTTGCATTTCTATGTTGCGATCCGCCCTGTGATCTTTGGATGAAGGGCGGGATACAAATTTAATAAATAATCATAATCATAGCAGCAGTGAACAGCACAGGGAACTACAATCAGGGGTGCCAACTTGAATAAAATATTGGGGGGCAGGCATGGACGTAGCCAAGATTTATGTGAGGGGGGCAGAATCTCAGTTAATTATTTTTATGTATTTACTTGATGGGGGGGCAACTGCCCCCCCCCATTGGCAGCTATTCCATGGACCCAGGTAAGCCCTGCCTTGCAAAACTGATCGCAAGATGCAGTGCACACATACCATTTTAATGACAATGCCCATTAACTTGTAGGGGGGTGGCCCTCTCAAATATTTTATGGGGGGAGCCAAAGGGACCTTGGCCCTAGGAGTTGGCTCTTAAGCAGCCAATCATGGCTGGCTGGCAGGCCTGTTGACTGCATTCCTTAATGTACAGGCACTCCTACCATGACCGAAAAATGTGTTGTGTCAAGGTGCCCTGGAGTTATGCGAATCCTGTTAGGGTGCTGGAGGCAAAGCTCTGTGAGGAAGAGAAGCAGAATTTGTTGCGCTCTCTCTCTCCCTCTCCCCCTCTGTCTCTTTCTTTCTTTTTTGGCTGGGTTTCTGCATCTATCATCCTTCTAGCAGGCAGAAATCCAGCAGGTGGGGAAGATTTCCTTTCAATAGTGCTGCTGGAACCTTTGCAGTGACTTGAGAGCTTCCATTGGATCCTTGTGATGGATTGCTTTGAAGTGATTTCTGTACCAGGGAAAGGGATTTTTGTTGTTGTTTAGTCGTGTCCGATTCTTCGTGACGCCCTGGACCAGAGCACGCCAGGCACTCCTGTCTTCCACTGCCTCCCGCAGTTTGGTCAGACTCATGTTTGTAGCTTCGAGAACACTTTCCAACCATCCCGTCCTGTGTCGTCCCCTTCTCCTTGTGCCCTCCATCTTTCCCAACATCAGGCTCTTTTCCAGGGAGTCTTCTCTTCTCATGAGGTGGCCAAAGTTTTGGGGTCTCAGCTTCAGGATCTGTCCTTCCAGTGAGCACTCAGGGCTGATTTCCTTCAGAATGGAGAGGTTTGATCTTCTTGCAGTCCATGGGACTCTCAAGAGTCTCCTCCAGCACCAGAATTCAAAAGCATCAATTCTTCGGCGATCAGCCTTCTTTGTGGTCCAGCTCTCACTTCCATACATCACTACTGGGAAAACCAGAGCTTGAACTATACGGACCTTTGTTGGCAAGGTGGTTAACCCTCTCGCACACACCTGTCCTCCATTTTGCCTGACCTGTCCTGTATTTTGAACCAACCAAAGGTGGCAACCCTACTTAAAGCACAGGAATTAAGCAGCAAAACGTACTTTATCACCTCCAGGCTAGGGCAGAGCCGGCGAGCGGGCGCGCCCCTCTCCACCACCGTGCGCCCCACCTTCCTTCCCCGCCGCCACCGCGTCCTTCCCCGGCTTGTTTGGGCCTCCTCTGCCCCGGGAGGAATTTCCAGCCTCGGGCAGCAGCTCCGGATTACGCATCCCTTCTCCCCGCCTTCTTCTCCCCCTCCGCCAGCAGCGCAGGCCCCTTTCCCAGCCGCCTCCTGCCCGCCCCTTTCGCCCCAACTCCTCGGGCGACGTCTGCAATTTCTCCCCTTCGCTGCTGCTGCCTCTCCTTTGCGCTCTGCCATGGCTCTCCGCTCGCGGCCTCCTTCCTCCTCCTCGCCCCGCTTCTCGGTCCCCTTCCTCCTCCTCCTCCTCCTCTCCATCCTCCTCTTCCTCTCCTCGCCCTCCTCCGGCCACCTGGCGCCTTACGACGCGCTCTACGCCGACGGGGTGCGCGCCTACTTCGCCCAGGACTGGCCTCGGGCGGCCGAGCTGCTGCAGCGCTGCCTGCACAGCTACTCCGGGCTGCAGGGCGCGCGCCGGGAGTGCCAGGGCGCGTGCCAGGGGCAGGCCGGCTTCTCGACGGGGCGACCGCCCTCGCGGCCCTGGGAGACGGGCTTCTTCGAGCGGGTGCTGCAGCGGGCCGAGTGCCTGGAGGAGTGCCTGGGGCGCCGGCTGGGCGGCCAGCCCTCCCTCCACCGGGCCAGCGCGCAGATCCGGCAGGACTTCGAGGAGAGGGAGCCCTACAACTACCTGCAGATCGCCTTCTTCAAGGTGAGGGGCAGGACGGGGCCAAGAGGCGCCCGCAGCTGCTGATGTGGCTGCCTCGCCCGCCCGCCCGCCCGCCTGCCTTTAAAAACTTGGCAAACTTTATTTTTCACTTTCCCAAACTTGGGCTTTCCAGCTGTTTTGGGACTACAACTCCCATCATCCCTAGCTAGCGTGATCAGTGGTCAGGGATGATGGGAATTCGTAAAATCATAGAACTGTAGAGTTACGATGCAGGAATCTCAGCTAAAGCATCCATGGCAGATGGCCAGCCAACCTCTGCTTGAAAACCTCCAAGGAAGGAGTCTGCAACCACCGAGGGAGACCGTTCCACTATTGAACTATCACTGGCAGAAAGTTTTCCTGATGTGTAGTCAGAATCTCCTTTATCATATCATACTTTGTGGTCTTTACATTAAGAGCAATCATGTGTTGTCTTCTTCTATGGGCAGAAAAATGCCTAGTGCAGTCAAGAAACATTCAGGCTGTGCAAAGTTACTCAGCAAAAAGAAATATGCAGATGGCCAAAAGCAATTTAAACTGGCAGGTCCTTGGCACTCAGTTCAGAAGTCCTTGTTTATCCATTTTTTTCTGCTGCTACGTCTACTGCCTTCCAATTCCATGCCTGGGCTGCCTTAGAGCAGAGTTAGCTGCTACACACAAACACTTCTAAAATGGGGTTATGGGCATAGAATTCAGGATTCCCCCTCCCCTTGCAACATACTTTAGAATCACAGAATCATAGTGCATCCTCCTGCAATGCAGTAACCTTTTGCCCAATGTGGTGCTCGAACCTGCGGCCCTGAGATGAGGAGTCTTTGTTGTTGTTGTTTAGTCGTGTCCGACACTTCATGACCCCCTGGACCAGAGCACGCCAGGCCCTCCTGTCTTCCACTGCATCCCGCAGTTTGGTCAAACTCATGCTGGTAGCTTCAAGAACACTATCCAACCATCTTGTCCTCTGTCGTCCCCTTCTCCTTGTACCCTCCATCTTTCCCAACATCAGGGTCTTGTCCAGGGAGTCTTCTCATGAGGTGGCCAAAGTCTTGGAGCCTCAGCTTCAGGATCTGTCCTTCCAGTGAGCACTCAGGGCTGATTTCCTTAAGAATGGATGTGTTTGATCTTCTTGCAGTCTATGGGACTCTCAAGAGTCTCCTCCAGGATCATAATTCAAAAGCATCCATTCTTCGGCGATCAGCCTTCTTTATGGTCCAGCTCTCACTTCCATACATCACTACTGGGCAAACCATAGCTTTAATGATACGGACCTTTGTTGGCAAGGTGATGTCTCTGCTTTTTAAGATGCTGTCTAGGTTTGTCATTGCTTTTCTCCCAAGAAGCAGGCGTCTTTTAATTTCGTGATAATACTATGAGGTATAAAAAAAACTGTAACAAATGTTTTTAACTTGCACTGCTTTGCGTGTGTGTTTGTGTGCATGCAATTAAATCCTAGAGTGGGCTTGTCCACACTCTCTGCCACTTCAGTCTGAGAATGGTGCCCTCGTGGCCCTCATTTTACTTCTAAATGGTACTGTTTTGTTCCTGCAGCTCAAGAAACTCGATGAAGCCGTTTCCTCAGCTCACACGTTCTTCGTGGCCAATCCACAGCACCTACAAATGCGCGAGGACATGGAGAAATACCGGCGCATGGCGGGGGTGAAAGCGGAAAGCTTTCGGGATCTTGAGGCCATGCCACACTGGGTGAGAGACTTCAGGAAACTGGATGTTGCTTGGCAGATTAAGAAGGGCTGCTTTGTGAAGCCTACTGGGGCCTGGGGGTGGTAAAGAATTCACAGAATCGTAGTGTTGGAAGGGACCGCCAGGCTTATCTAGCCCAATCCCCTTGCAATGCAGGAATCTCAACCAGATCTTATGTGACATATGGCCATCCAACCTCTGCTTAAAAACCTCCCAAGCATTGAAGGTGGGGGTGCGCCCCCCTTTCCCACAGTGCTACCTGTGGCTCCAGAGGGGATGGTAAGCTGAAAATGGCACAGAAGGATGTCATTGAATTCTTCTCAATATGGATCCAGATTCCAATGTATAGTAAAGGTAACGGTAAAGGGACCCATGACCATTAGGTCCAGTCGGGACCGACTCTGGGGTTGCGGCACTCATCTCGCTTTATTGGCCGAGGCAGCCGGCGTACAGCTTCCGGGTCATGTGGCCAGCATGACTAAGCCGCTTCTGGTGAACTAGAGCTATGCACGGAAACGCCGTTTACCTTCCTGCCAGAGCGGTACCCATTTATCTACTTGCACTGGTGTGCTTTTGAACTGCTAGGTTGGCAGAAGCAGGGACCGAGCAACGGGAGCTCACCCCATCGCAGGGATTCGAACCGTCCACCTTCTGATTGGCAAGTCCTAGGCTCTGTGGTTTAACCCACAGCGCCACCCGTGTCCCTTAATGTTGTGGGAATGTTCTGGGGTGCAGGAAAGGATATATTGACTAATTATATCCTGATCCAACTTGTGCTAACAAGTTCCCAAAATATCAGCAGAGTTTACATACATTCCCCTTTAGTACGCAACGGTAACGTGTGCACAGGTTCGCTAGAACCTCTATAATAATTACTCTGGTAATTTCCCCTTTAGTTCCCTCTTAAAATACAAGACACGACACAGTCTTCATAAAAGTATAAAAGAGTTTACTCACGTCCTGTTCACAATGTGATCCCAGGCGGCAGACAGGCTTAAAAAGGTTACATAGATTTAGAATCTATCTCATAGCAAGATAGGCCTTATCTCCTCTCTTGGCTGGGAGCCAAGAGGGCATCCTTAGGTGTTTCCTCGTCGAAGGAAAATGGCAGAGAGAGAGAGATGGCTGCCTGCCCTGTGCTTTTTGTCATCACCTGCACAGGTGAGGCCACACCCACCTCTGGTCACATGTGGAGGAAGTCCGTCCCCAGGAAGTTCACCTGCTTGCTGGACAGACATCCCCCCCATGTTCTAGCATGTACACTCTAGGAATGTTGTCATTGACTGCTCCTGTGTTTACATCCCACAAATGTATAGTTAGCAGAGTAAAAACTGAAACACGTTGCAGGCAATAAATATTTCATCCAGCAGAGCTTTACTGCTACAGAAGGCAAATAAGCATAATGGTCCAATACAGTGGTACCTCTGGATGCGAAACGGATCTGTTCTGGAGCCCCATTCGCATCCTGAGTAGAATATAAGACATGTCTGTGCATGCGCGGTTCACAATTTGCCGCTTCCGCTCATGCGCGTGACGTCATTTTGAGCGTCTGCGCATGGGCAAGTGGCGAAACCCGGAAGTAATGCGCTCCGTTACTTCCGGGTTGTCGCAGAGCGTAACTTGAAAATGCTCAACCTGAAGCACATTTAACCCGAGGTATGACTGTACATTCAGGATTGGCACTGTCCATAAGAAATCCAGCTGCAGCAGACTTAACTTAAACTTAACAATAACTTACAATAAGTCTAAACCATAACACTATGTACAGAACACCACACCAGAAGGAAGAGAGATAGAAAGAAAGAGAAAGTGAAACCCAGGCTCCTTCTGGCCTATTATAGTCAGCAAGACCTTGACAGAAGAGATAACAGAACCAGTTTAAGTCAGCTGTATTCAGCTTCTCTGAAAGTATAACCCAAACATCATGAACCTTCTGCTTGTTTCTAGAACCCTCTTGAATTAAGTAGAATAGGAAAGATCTCTACACATCAGATCAATACTTTCTGCACTAAGAAATGCAAATTGACAAGGGAAGGGTTAAAGACCCATTAGACAACTCATACCATTCCTACATGCTACTTTTAGGACTTAAAAGATACAGTGGTGCCCCGCAAGACGAATGCCTCGCAAGACAGAAAACCCGCTAGATGAAAGGGTTTTCCGTTTTGGAGGTGCTTCGCAAAACGAATTTCCTATGGGCTTGCTTCGCAAGACGAAAATGTCTTGCGAGTTCCTGCAGGGTTTTTTTCGTCCCCCCCCCCTTTTTCCCAAGCCGTTAAGCCGCTTATCAGCTGATCCACTAAGCCGCTTAACAGCTGGCTAACCACTTACAGCTGATCCGCTATCAGCCTGATCCTAAGCCGCTATCAGCTGATCCGCTAAGCCCGCTAAGCCGCTAATAGCGCTAAGCCGCTAAGCCGCTAATGGGCTTGCTTCGCAAGACGAAAAAAACCGCAAGACGAAGAGACTCGCGGAATGGATTCTTTTCGTCTTGCGAGGCACCACTGTACATCTAGCCATAAACTCCCATGCCTCATGTGGTTTGGCCCTGAGAGCTTAGCCTCTGGTTGCAAAGGCCTGCTACCACAGCCCCCCATCACTATCCCATGAGAGAGTCACAACCTGGGCTGTCCTGGGGGACTGATGGGTTTGTGACCTGCAGGTGGCCTACGAAGCTGGAATTCAACATTACAAGGCAGATGACTACCAGCAGGCGGTGACAAAGCTCGAGGAATCGCTCAAAGAAGGGCTGCTGGCGCTGGAAGACTGCAGGGCCCTTTGCGAAGGGCCTCAGGAGGATGAGGAAAAGGCGGAGGAGACGCAGCTTGGCCTCTACGAAGCCATTGCAGGTAGAAGCAGCGAAAGTCTGAGGGAGCGCTGAACGTTAAGAGCTGGAGAGAGCTTGTGGTTTGAGGCGGCCTTCCTCTTGAAGCAAGCACACATGCTTACTCCTCTGTAGACTCTAATAATAATAATAATAATAATATTTATTCCCCACCCATCCAGCTGACATGTTCTCCAGATGCTTAACGAATATCAAATGCTTGCCTAACAGTCACAAAAAGTGGGTGAGGGATTAAATAGATGTGGTGGGGAGAGCCATTGATGACATTTCCTGTGTTCTTTTAAGAGCAGCTAGAGGGGTATTTGGGTTGGGATCTGGCAATAGAAAGAGAAGGTTTATCCACTTCCCAGCAATGTTTTCCCAGTTGAAATGTCCTCCCCACCTCAAGCATCTGTTTCACCTCATGGGAGAAAAGGGGCAGGTGTGTTTTCATTTAGGTTGCTTTCCTGCACTGTGGTGAAACAAAAAAAGGTTGGGGAATTTTGAATATTGGCAGTATTCCCCCCCCCAAAGCTCATGACTTCTGGGGGCAGTAAAGGTACCCCTGCCCGTACGGGCCAGTCGTGTTCGACTCTAGGGTTGTGCGCCCATCTCACTTAAGAGGCCGGGGGCCAGCGCTGTCCGGAGACACTTCCGGGTCACGTGGCCAGTGTCACAAGCTGCATCTGGCGAGCCGGCACCAGCGCAGCGCACGGAAACGCCGTTTACCTTCCCGCTATAAAGCGGTACCTATTTATCTACTTGCACTTAGCGGTGCTTTCGAACTGCTAGGTGGGCAGGAGCTGGGACCGAAAGACGGGAGCTCACCCCGCCGCGGGGATTCGAACCGCCGACCATGCGATCGGCAAGCCCTAGGCGCTGAGGTTTTACCCACAGCGCCACCCGCGTCCCTCTGGGGGCATTACCATGAGAGAAAAGGTATTCCCTAGGTAGAAGAAACATCCCATAGCCCTTAAAGAAGACCTTCTGCTTTTCAAGTGCTGCTCTTTGAATAATAATAATAATAATAATAATAATAATAATAATAATTTATTATTTGTACCCCGCCCATCTGGCTGGGTTTCCCCAGCCACTCTGGGCGGCTTCCAACAAAGATTTAAAATACATTAAAATGTCACACATTAAAAACTTCCCTGAACAGGGAAAAGAGGAAGGGGGTCCAGCAAAAGGCACGTCAGGTCATCGTGGAGAGTTAGCCATCTGGTTTCCAGGATACAGGCCTTGAAATCCGACACGCGGGTAAAGGCCGTGGGTTTCTTTAGGGTATTGTAACCCTCCTGGCAAATAGAAGGGCAAGAAATGGAGGCAGGGAGAGATTTTACTTTCTTGGGCTCCATGATCACTGCAGATGGTGACAGCAGCCACGAAATTAAAAGACGCCTGCTTCTTGGGAGAAAAGCGATGACAAACCTAGACAGCATCTTAAAAAGCAGAGACATCACCTTGCCAAGAAAGGTCCGCATAGTTCAAGCCATGGTTTTCCCAGTAGTGATGTATGGAAGTGAGAGCTGGACCATAAAGAAGACTGGTCGCCAAAGAACTGACAGTCCAGCTGTTACTCTGGGGGCATGTATTCTCCATTTCTATTTCTCATTCTCTTTCTGCCTTCTTCCAGCTCACTACATCCAGGTCCTAAAGTGCAGGCAGAAGTGTGTCCTTGACATTGCCACCAAGCCCGGGAGGGTGTCTTCCACAGAAGACTTCATCCCATCTCATTTTGATTTGCTGCAGTTCGCCTATGAAAGAAGTAAGCAGGGGATGCTGTGCTGAGTGGGAACGTGCCCAGGACAAGAGTGGGGTGGAGCATGGATGGAATGGTAGTCGGAGCCATTGTAACTTGAGTCCATCTTCTCGTTCTCAGCTGGGAATTGGGCCCTCGCCGCTGAATGTGCAGCCACCTATTTGCAGTTCTATCCATCAGACGGGGCGTTGCTGGAGAAACTGAAGCAATACCAAGCAGAGCTGGGAGATGTGCCCATTGCAGCCAGAGAGGTACCAGTAAACATTTCTTCCATCTGGAAGCAAGCACCACATCAATGAGAACAAAATGCGGGCATAATCCAGAGAGAGTTAAGGATTCCCAACTCTCTCATGAAAATCACTCAAGTGACCTTAAGGCACATGGGACAGATAGCTGTGCAGATTTACTGTCAAGAGTTTGTTGTTGTTGTTTTTAAGCAAAAAAGTGGGAGCCATTTTGTAGTAATGTTTTTTTAATGCCTGGTTTTAATATCTTTATTTCATTCACAGAATATCCGCCACTATGTGGAGAGGTCTCTTATGGAGAAGAAACTCATTTACTATGCAGTGGAGCATCTTGGGGAAACTTTTAATGACCCTGTAAGTAGCTGCAGTCCGCTTTTTCATCTATGGGCGTGTACTGGACAAATTAATATATGGGAGGGGACCATTCCCCCCCCCCCTTCCTGCCTTGGTGCCTGAAATAAGTGATGAGCAGGAAGAAAAGTATGGATATCAAAGATACTTCAAGATGGCTGCTTCCAGTTGAGCACAGTGAGTTCCCAAAGCTAGGCAGGGCGAGGACTGTTTAAATAAAGGAATCGACTGCTTATCTCCCTGACACAAAGTACACCTTTGGTCAGGCTTCTCACTTGATGTGGCTCCAAAAAGATCCCTGTGGTTCGGTGATTTTCAAAGAATGTGGTGCGCCACACTGGTTTAGCCCGAAAGGATGGCAAGTGTAGCCAGAATATTCAAGGAGAATCAAATAAACATTGAAACATTAGTGTAGTGTAATATAATAATAATAATAATAATAATAATAATAATAATAATAATAATTCATTATTTATACCCCGCCCATCTGGCTGGGTAGGAGGGCGTTCCACAGGGTGGGTGCCACTACTGAGAAGGCCCTCTGTCTGGTTCCCTGTAACCTCACCTCGCAGCGAGGAAACTGCCAGAAGGTCCTCCTCAGTTTCCGGGCTGAATGATGGGGGTGGAGACTCTCCTTCAGGTATACAGGACTGAGGCCTGTATAGTATAATATAGCATAGCATAGCATAGCATAGCATAGCATAGCATAGCATAGCATAGCATAGCATAGCATAGTAATTGTTTTGGATATACAAACAGAAACAGTATCCTTGCCTCTGTTCAAGAGCATTGGCTATACTACTGTTCTCCACGATATATTGTTGCGAACAGGGATTTTCAACACTGACAAATCTGACACATCAGAAAAGAGTAAGGCTTCTTTGCACTGATGAGGAGATGAAAGTTTGTTTGTTTCAAAGTAAACATCATATAAACAAAATTACCTGGCAAAAGCAAGCTCACACCTCTCAATGAGTTGGTATACACACTTAAGGTACATGTGTAAGAGGCTCATTCATAATTACATTTTGGGAACGATTCAAGTTCTTCTGTAACTGCATTGCTTTATACTTTCTGAATGTCCCATGATTACATTGGCTCAGGATTTCAGTGTTTGATCTAGGGAAGGGTTTGTACCAACACCTGACCAATGAGGAATTTGTCAGCAAATGGCAGAAAACCATGGCTAAAAAAGCCACCTCTATAGGTCTGTCACCCCCCCAACTGTATTACCTGGGTTATGAAGGCGCCCTAAAGATGTTAAAGCAAAGATTGTGGGATAATGCACACAGTGACTTGCGATCTCAATCACACGCAGTCTGTAGTCAGCTGGCAGTAGGAGTACAATATGGGCATGTCTTTAAGTTAACATCTTACATTAAAAACCTGACAGTACCAAACTACCGAAGGCTTTTCACCAAAGCCAGACTAAATGTCTTCCCCTCTGCAGTGCTGGATGGCAGGTTGAGAGGAGTTCCCTAGCAGGACAGACTTTGCTCGTGTGCTTAAGACATCGATTCCATAAAACATATTTTGTTGCACTATGCAAAATATGAGCAAGCCAGGGCTGAACTGATATTACCCTTGCTGGTACCTTTCCCAGGAAAATCAGAGGCTCACTATGTCAGGTTCCTATTGGAAGACCGGACAAACGCTAGAACATTAGCAGTGGTCAAGTTTTTGTCGGTGGTTGCAAGAACCAATGATCCCTATATTCTGAACAAAATGCTTGTTTAAACTGGAGGTAGGCTGTATGAATTGTGTATTGCTTTGTAACGATTTGTTGGGTCTCTGGACTGTAAGATTGATGATGATGATGAGATTATATAGTAGTTGTATTCTGTGTTATAAATCGAGCACCGCTCTGGAGCATCTCTTCCTGGGCTCCAGTGTATTTATTATCAATAAAAAATTGGTGTGGTGCTGGTAAATTTTTATTCTGAAAGTGTGGCCCAGAGAAGAAAGCTTGGGAGCTGTAGCATGAACTAGCTTGGAGGCAGAGCATGTGTGCACATACCATGGTGAGGGAGCAGGAACTTTATACTGCAATATGTAGAAGGAGGTGAGGGTTCTGCCACAATATGGAAAAAATCTTGTGTAACATGAGTCCGTGCCTTTATTTCTTTAGGATTCGTGGACTCCAGAGGAATTGATTCCTGAAAGCATGAAGGAAAAACACAAGTAAGCACCAGAAGGTAGAGAGGCTGGGCTGAGGGGGAGCAATATTAAGTTGTAGCCTTTGCTTTTTTGCCGAACTTTTTAATAGGGGAGAGTCTCATGTCCTCCATTTCTGCAATTGATGGCCTTTTTTGTGTTTGTTTGTTAATCCAAGAGAAGATCAAGAGAAGCAAAGGCTGAAAGCCCCAGATGTGGGAGAGCAGGAGCCAAGAGGTGAGTACCAGAAAACGAGCTGACATGCAGGGAGGAAAGGCTGAATAGGCAACAAGACTTGGTCATCCCCACCGACTCCCTGTGGTGGTTTGAGGGGAGTTGGGCATTGGTGAGTGAGATGAGCCTGAGGCTTCCTCTGAACGTGGAGCTAAAGAGGAGAAGGGACCAACTCTGCCCCTTCTCCAGCTCCTAAGTTCAACTGAAGCCTGGGATTTGTTTTGGCTCTGTGCTTTCTAGGCAGAGGTAAGGGAACATAGAAAGTTGTCCCCTCTCTCTGCAAACTAGAGGGGAGATGTAGGTGCATGGCTTGAAGCAAGCCTCTCCCTGCAGTCCTGTTCCAAATTGTTGGAGGTGGGGCCTTGTTTTCTCTCTTCCTCTTCCCCTGCAGGCTCCAAGTTTAGAGCTTCAAAAGGGGAGGGGGGTCCAGGCAAAATGAAAGTTTGGGTTTGCTTATTTGTTGTTGTTGTTTAGTCGTGTCCGACTCTTCGTGACCCTCTGGACCAGAGCACGCCAGGCACTCCTGTCTTCCACTGCCTCTCACAGTTTGGTCAAACTCATGCTGGTAGTTTTGAGAACACTGTCCCACCATCTCGTCCTCTGTCATCCCCTTCTCCTTGTGCCCTCCATCTTTCCCAACATCAGGGTCTTTTCCAGGGAGTCTTCTCTTCTCATGAGGTGGCCAAAGTATTGGAGCCTCAGCTTCAGGATCTGTCCTTCCAGTGAGCACTCAGGGCTGATTTCCTTCAGAATGGAGAGGTTTGATCTTCTTGCAGTCCATGGGACTCTCAAGAGTCTCCTCCAGCACCAGAATTCAAAAGCATCCATTCTTTGGCGATCAGCCTTCTTTATGGTCCAGCTCTCACTTCCATACACCACTACTGGGAAAATATAACGGTAGCCCCCCCCCCCAAATGCTGACATTCCTGTTCAAGTTTTAGATTGAGCCTTGTGGCCTTTGGAAGACCACTGAAGAATTTTGAACAACCCGCTGATTTTATCTTAATTAGGCATTTCTGCTCCCAGTGAAAAACAACTGACTTTGTCTGAAGCCGTGCTTGCAGCACAGGGTGGGGTATTTTTTATTGCTTGAATTAAGTTGGCTCTGAATTCAATTGGCTTTGGTGAATTAGGTGAAGCTTTACTTTTTATTTTAAAGGATTTACCCTGGGTTTGAAATACCATTTTTTTTTCGTGATCCTTTCTTTTATAAATATGTAAATTGTGCAAAGGATAGCTCAGCTGGTAAAGTGTGAGATTCTTAATCTCTAGGTCATGGGTCTGGGCCCCATGTTGAGCAAAAAGATTCCTGAATTGCAGCGGATTGGACTAGAGGACCCTTGCGATTAATAATAATAATAATAATAATAATAATAATAATAATACCTTTATTGTCAATGTACAATCTGTGTACAATGAAATTAACTGAGCCTCCCTCCCCCCCAAACACTCAGTCTCATTGCATTCTGTGTGCTTGTGGTACAACACACCAACCCCCAAAGTCAGTTGCACTATATTATTTTCCGTTCAGCAGCCTAACAGCCCACGGATAGAAACAGATTCCAAACTCTATGATTCTGTGAAGTGACAGGGACCCAGCGCTGAAGCTTCCAAACTCATGCTAAATCAGATCGACTTGGAAGTTGCTTAAGAGGCAATATGCTGAGAAATTGGAAAGTACTAGGGAATTAGGAGCTTATTCACTATATTTAAAAGCAGCCCTGCTAGATCAAGCCAATTCATCATCATCATCATCACTTTTAATCTGTATACCGTCTTTCTATCTTACAATACCCAAGGTGGTTTACAAGCTGAAGAAACAAAGAATGTACACCGTATAACAATCTAATGCAATACAAAAATATGATAATAAAACATAACTTTAAAATACGCAACCTACATCAAATAAGTAACATTCAACATTCCTTAGAATAGTAGAGAATAATATTAAATATCAGCATATAAAAATTAAACTGAAATCCACTCTTAACAATTACAACGAATAATTTCTAAACTCCAATCAATAAAACAACGGCAAGCTATGGTGCATAAAATAATACAATGCAAATTGAGAAGCAGAGACTGGATGGTGGGGCAAGGCAGGAGGTGGAAGGAGGCTTTGCCTGATGAAGTCTCTCCCAGCTGCCATATAGTCCAGCATTCTGTCCCCACAGTAGCCAGCAAGATGCCTCTGGGAATCAGGACTGGAGCACAACAGCCCTCTCCCACTCATGATTTCGGCGGTCGGTATTCAGAGGCATACTGCATCTGATTACAGAGGCCGTGTAACCATCACGGAGCATAAAGCCATTGACAGCCTCATCCTCCATGCAAACTTGTGTTGGGCCCATAGCCGCTTTTGCAGAGCCAGGCAGCACCCTTGTGGTGGCAGTGTTTGCTTATGCACAGGCCTTGCAGCGGCAGCGTTGCCTTATGCACATGTGTTGTACCCATGCCAAAGCGCATCACCTCCCAGAAGGAGCGTGTTGCCCCCTTTCTGCGCAGCGCAGGGGCACGCGCTCCTCTGATTTGATGCTTTTCCCTTTGGCCATCTGCACAGCAGATGGGAGTGAAAGTGAGGCCAGCGGTGGCTGCCGTGCCTGCATGACCCAGGGAATGGTGTTGCCAGAGATGAGCATTCAAACACTATGTTTCTGCCTCCTTTTTGGACAACAGTTCCTCTACTTTCAGCTGGGACCGAAACTGTTGATTCAGAATGGGAGACGTGTCTGGCTGGTGTCTTGTACCATGCATGTTCATTGGTAGTAGCCCTTGACTTTATCAGCGAAGATGGTAGGGATTTGTCAACGTATTTGGTTCTTACGCCAAAGGTTATGGCAAATTTACAAGGTGAAAATAAGCAATAGCTGGATTGCAAATCACACACTGTTTGTTAGTGTACTAAACGTGAATAAAGTATACTAAGGATCTATCTGGATGACAAATCCTGAATGTCTTTAAGCCTCCTAGTGGTCTTGCTCGTTGGTTTTACATAATTTTATACTTTTTTTTTACTTTAACCATTTCCAAATATTAAAATAAAAGGTTCTTTCAAACCTTCGGACCTCCTTCCCTCCCTCCATGGGTTCCATATTCAAAGAAAAATATTTTGCGTCTTTTACCGTTGTCTATCTGTTACATATCAATAGTTACCAAAGTTCATTTCACATTACAAGTGTCAGTGTATCCCTGCCAATGATTTTAACTGTTTACAGTGGTCTTTTAAATATATTAAATTATTCCATATAACCGGTGTTATATGGTCTTACAGGTATTCTCCCTACATGTTTGGGAAGCAACACATAAATGACTAGGGACTGTAAGGGAGATCAGTTTCCTCCCTGTTTATTTACATCCCTTGGGCACAGCGGAAGGATAGCATTGCCTCATGTTGCATTCCTATACCGCCTTGTTCATCTCCTTTCCCCAGAACCCCTTGCTTTCGAGGGCATCACCATCACCATGGACTCCCAGCAGCTCAATGGCTCCCAGAGAGTTGTCTTGGACAGAGTCCTGACTGAATCTGAATGCAAAGACATCCTCCGCCTGGCCAAGGTAAGGAGAGGTGCCAGCACCTGTGCTGCATCAGCCCCTGCCAGCAGCAGGAGAGGGAGCCAAGAGCAACCCTGGGTCCCTCACATTGTTTCTCTGTGTTTCAGGCAGCTGGAGGAACAGAAGGCGGCTATCGCGGCAGGCGTTCACCACACACTCCCCATGAGAAATTTGAAGGATTAACAGTGTTAAAGGCTCTGCAGGTAAATGTCTATATTATTTTTAATTGAATTTATATACTGTCCTATACCCAGAGGTCTCAGGGCGGTTCACAGAAAAGATCACAATATATAAAACAATAGCCCAATAACAGCCCCCCCAAACAAGAGCCACATTATAATGATTTTATTGCATTAGCCATGCGGCCATAGCATAATATACATAGAAATAACAACATAAAATGGGGGTGGGGAGATAAAAGTGTATGCCGTTCTGGGCGAATACTTTGAGAAAATGGGGATAACAAAGGTAACGGGAGATTTAAAACACTGAGTGACAGAGAATACAAAAAACAGGTTCGATTGTGCGGCGTATCGACTACATCTGTGGTATTGAGGAAGGAGTTGGTGCCGCTTTCCTCTTCATCACACTAAGCAGGAAATTAGCTGTCATCTCGGTAATCCAACGGTCAGAATCCTGCAGAAGAAGGGACACTATCCAAGGCTGGATTGGGAGATGAAGCTTGTTCACGAGAGGAGTTAGGAACCGAGATCTTTCATCTGTCCAGTTGGGACAGAAGAGCATTACATGTTCCATAGTCTCCAGAACCGTGTCATTGCAGGAGCATGTTCTATTTGCGCTGGGAACTCTGGAGTAACGACCCGACAGAACTGCTGTAGGAAAACAGTTGAGTAAAGGCCCTTCGTTTAGCCTCCGAAGGAATTGTAAAGCAGTATAGAGGGATCCCTTCAGGGGGTGGAATAGCTAGGGCTAAGCCTGAACACGGCCCTCTTGCATGGGAAGCTGTGTTAGAGAAGTCAAGTTGCTGCAGCTTCTTTTTGATTAGAGGTAGGGCTGCCGGGCTTATACACTCTAAATTAAAAACAGTTTTGCGGTTCAAATTGAGAAGAGAGCGGAATTTGAGATTAATTGTAGTTTTCCAAGGAGAATTATGAATATCTCTTAGGATCAGATTGGAGAGCCACATTTTAAAAGGGTGTAGGACATGGGTAGGCAAACAAAGGCCCAGGGACGGGTCCAGCCCAATCGCCCGCGGACGTTCCGGGAATCAGCCCATTTTTACATGAGTAGAATGTGCCCTTTTATTTAAAATGCATCTCTGGGTTATTTGTGGGGCATAGGAATTTGTTCATTTTTTCCCTTCAATATATAGTCTGGCCCCCCACAAGGTCTGAGGGATAGTGGACCGGCCCCCTGCTGAAAAAGTTTGCTGACCCCTGGTGTAGGATGTCCAGCAGGTCAACCAAAGGCCTGGTTAAAAAGGAACATTTTTGCCTGGCACCTAAAGGTATAAAATGAAGGTACCTGGCGAACTTCCCTAGGGAGAGAAGAGGCGGCCTGTTCTCGTGTTGCCACCCTCTGGACCTTGAGATATTGTGGTCCTGAGCCGTTTAAGGCTTTATAGATCAAAACCAGCACTTCGAATTGGGCCCAGAAACTAATTGGTAGCCAGTGCAGTCGGACCAGGATTGGTGTAATATGCTCAGACCGTCTTGCTCCGGTGAGCAACCTGGCTGCTGAATTCTGCACCAGCTGAAGTTTCCGAAGCATCTTCAGAGGCAGCCCTACGTATAACGCATTGCAGTAATCTAACCTTGAAGTTACCAGAGCATAAAGGTAAAGGTAAAGGGACCCCTGACCATTAGGTCCAGTCATGACCAACTCTGGGGTTGTGGCGCTCATCTTGTTTTATTGGCCGAGGGAGCCGGCGTGCAGCTTCCGGGTCATGTGGCCAGCAGGACTAAGCCGCTTCTGGCGAATCAGAGCAGCGCACTGAAATGGCATTTACCTTCCCGCCAGAGCGGTACCTATTTATCTACTTGCACTTTGACGTGCTTTCAAACTGCTAGGTTGGCAGGAGCAGGGACCGAGCAACGGGAGCTCTTCCCGACGCGGGGATCCGAACTGCCGACCTTCTGATGGGCAAGCCCTAGGCTCTGTGGTTTAACCCACAGTGCCACCTGCGTCCCAGAGCATAGACAACAGTAGTTAGGCAATCCTTCTTGATATAGGGGCGTAGCTGGGCCACTTTAGAAGGCGCAAGCTCCTATTTCTAGGTGTAGGTTTCTTCTTTGCATCTTCTCTGAAGCTAGAGAGAAAGCAGAGGTGTGAGAACTTTAAGCCAGAGTACACTGTCAAGTTGAAATAGCAAAGAAGTTGTAAACGAGTACATTTTTAATTGGAGTTGAACAGTATATGCGAGGCAATGTTGCCTGCTATGTGTTTATCTGCATGCATGCGTAAAGACACACTCATGCATGTACAAACACACTTTCCTCCTCCTGTGGTTGGAAATGACTGTGAAACATTACCGCTGCTTCTTATAGGGAAGGCATGTCCAAAGTCTGTTTCAGGGGCCTAATCTGGCCTGCTGGTTGATTTAATCCTGCCCCCGTGGCAGTATATGTCCTCAACAACTTTGGTCAGCCCTCACACACGTTCACTTCATCAAATCCGGCCCTCTTTGAAAAAAGTTTGGGCACCCCTATTCTAAGGTAAAAAAAAAAATTTAGGAGGGAGAAATTTTCATCTGAGAAGTGGCAAGGGAGTGTTTAACCTTTTCCTTGACCCAGTGCTTCTCTGCTCTAGATAAAAACATTCGTGTAAGGATTATTTTCCCCTCCAGGGTTTCAGATGTGTACATACAAACATGTATGTGAGGCCCCATGTGAGACAAACGGCTTGGGGGGTGTGATTTTTAGCAAAGAAGTGGTTGGCGCAGAAAGGGCTCAGCACACACAGACGGGCTTCTTCTCTCCAAACAATCTCTTCCTGAAGCTGCTTTGCCTTCCAAAAAAAAAAAAAAAAAAGCCATTGGGTTCTCTGAAACGAATTTGCATGTAATGTATAGTTTTGCCTTTATGTAGCCTTCATAGCCTGTGATGTATGAGTTTATTCATGTTCTCTGGCAAAGAGTTTCTGCAGGATTTTGAAGAATGACTTTTTTTTGTTTATTCAAAAAACAAGGAATTTAGAAATATTATTGCACACAGCATCATGCTGCAGGCTTAGCCCATAAAATACTCTTCATCATAGAACTGTAAAGTCAGAAGGGACCATGAGGGTGATCCAGGCCAACTCCCAGCAATGCAGGGATCTTTTGCCCAACGTGGGGCTCAAACCTACAACCCTGAGATCAAGAGTCTCAGGCTATACCAGCTGAGCTATATCCCATATACCTCTCCTCCTTCGTACCCCCCAAGAACCATCTCATTATTAGTCTTGCTGCTGCTAAGGATCATAACATTTCAATCTGCCTGCAGATAAGATTATAAAGGTAAAAGGTAAAGGGACCCCTGACCATTAGGTCCAGTCGTGACTGACTTTAGGGTTGCGGCGCTCATCTCGCTTTATTGGCCGAGGGAGCCGGCGTACAGCTTCCGGGTCATGTGGCTAGCATGACTAAGCCACTTCTGGCAAACCAGAAAAGTGCACGGAAACGCCGTTTACCTTCCCGCCGGAGTGGTACCTATTTATCTACTTGCACTTTGACGTGCTTTCGAGCTGTTAGGTTGGCAGGAGCTGGGACCAAGCAATGGGAGCTCACCCCGTCACAGGGATTCGAACCGCCAACCTTCTGATCGGCAAGTCCTAGGCTCTCTGGTTTAACCCACAGCACCACCCGCGTTCCTAGTTAAGATTATACTTTTCTTTAAAAAAAGTGCTTTCTAAATACATTCATATGGTGACATTTTCCCCGGTCCTCCCACCTATCATTCCAAGAGGAATGAATCTCCTCCGTGGGCAACGATGTGTCTCTCATCCCGCCTTCAGTTTGGTGGGGAAACTGCTGTCCTCTAGCTTCTGACATGTTGGCAGACCTCGTATCATGCACTACATGCTTGTCCTATAAGTGACAAATACTTTGCCCAAGACCAGCTTGCAAAACAAAGCCTTACAGGGACCATACAGGTGGGGGGGGACCCAAATATCCAAGGATTTTCATTGCTGGATTGTATTTAGAGACATCACCATCAGGAATGATAAATGTGAGGGTAACAGAAGCCCTGAGAAAAACACTGAGGCCATATTATGAGCATGGGTGGAGTCTTGATGAAGATGATCCTATTGTGAAACATTTGAGAAGAGGTCAATAAGATGGAATACAAAAGAATTGTGTAGACTGCATGCTGAGGGAATATAGGAGGCTTGGAAAAGAGCCCAGGCTTCAAGCATATCTTCCCAAAGTGTTTCTTAAGGTGTATGTCAATCTTAGGCTGATGTGATTATCTCATGCCATTGAATATTCCCAGCTTTCTTCCTTTCTCCCGCCCTTGCTTGCTTGTGTTCTGTCTTTATGAGCATTTCTTTTATCAAATATCCTTTATTAGGCAAAGCAAACCACACATTATCAAACAGACACCGTATACAAATTGTGCAAAATACGAGCTCAGCATAACAAGGTTTGTCCCAGCCAGATCTTTAACTCCAGAGGAAATCAATTTGCATAAATAATACAACACAACAATACCACATCACCAATCAATTAAGAACCACTAAATCTCTTTCTACATAGTCTTTCTACATAGACAGCACTCAAAAATTCAGCCACTATTAAAGTAATTTGATCATTCCTGTCCGAGAACAGGTCCTGAACCATTGATAGCGTAGAATTGAGCCTATTGAGTTGTAAGCCCTCCAATAATTGACTTCTGGCATAAATGCCAAAATCACAAGAAAAGAAAATATGCTATGAGCATTTCTGCTTCAGGCCCCATTTCTTGAATTCCACCAGTGCAAGACCCCTTCTTCCATGCTTCCTCCTCTCTGCAGTCATGGAGGGTGCCCCATTGCAACAGAGGACAAGCCTCCTGTGCTATGGAGAGTTGTGCAGATGAAGCGATTTGGGTAGGTGCAGATTGCCATGCAACACATACCTTGATGCAGGCAAGGAAAGGCAGCCAAGGGGACCAGGGAGGAAGCAGCCATAGCATTTCCTTCTCTCACTTCAATGATGCTTTGAAAGGTAAACACATATTACCCTGGCAGCTCTAACAAACAAGAAAAGCTGCACCAACTTTCATTCCCCCCTCTCCCCAATTGTTACATTTGCAGAAGCCCCCTCTCCTGCATTTTGCTAAGGAAACTGCTGCATATTCTGGCAATTGTTGTCTGTACCCTTTATTTCTTTTTCACATGTGTGCCTGGAGCTTCACGCAAATTCAGGACACTTTCGTAAGTGAGGGTTTCTGCAATGGCTTTTTGTCTTCCAGCTGGCTGAAGAGAGCACTGTGAACTGGAGGGATGCTAAGCTTCTCTTGCAAGCCAGTGAGAAATCTCGGAAAATTGTGGAATCCTATTTCACCCCTGGCAAAGACCTCTATTTTTCATTTACACATCTTGTGTGTCGCACGGCTGCCGAGGGTAAGGAACTTTGCCTCTTCTCATCGGCACAATGTTCCACACTGAACAAGAGCATTTCTACATTGTCAGTTGGAAATACGACCCAGCTGATAAATTTACTGCTTCAAAACAATTAATAGAAATGTGAAATATACTTGGAGTCAAGTGTGGATTTCATGTTCTTTATTCAGCTCATAGTAGTGAGGAATGAAAGTTTCCCCAATATATCTGCTTTATATACATTATTTACACAATGGGCTGCATGTGATTGGCTAATTCTGGGATTCTCCTGTAGGCCAATCAGGTTGTGGATTCACTTCCATCTGGAGCTGGATTGGGTGCCTCCTGCGGACCAATCATACTGCTGCATTGTTCTAGGACCAATCATACTTCTGCATTCTGAATCCTATTGTTCTAGGACCAATCAGACTGCTGCCTTTTGGATCCTATTCAACTCAGTACATAACACCATGCAAACAATTCATTTGAAAGGCAGAGTAAAAGCCTTGGCTATGCTACTATCATCTAATAAGGAGTGAACATCAGCACTGAATCTTACATTTGTGAATATTCAACATATGCCAAAGTTTCAAATTTTTCTGTTTGCAAAATTCACACCAAAATTCGTAGAATTGTAGTATTGAAAGGGACACTGAGAGTCATCTAGTCCATCCCCTGCAATGCAGGAATATGTAGCGGTCCCATATGGGGATTGAACCTGCAACCTTGGCCTTATCAGCACCACACTGACCCACTGAGATTGTGGAGTTGCATGCTCCCAAATACAAATTATCAAGAGTATCGAACATGAAATGTCATCAGCTGAACTCCCTCAAATATACCCGCCGCAATCCAGCAAGAGAGTTCCACATACATAAAGTAGTCTTGTTATATGTGACTAGTTGCCCATGAGTAGTTGGATCGGAGCCTAATTATCAATGCATGCTAACTAGAAAATACAATCTGAGGGCCTTCTGGCAGTTCCCTCACTGCGAGAGGTGAGGTTACAGGGAACCAGGCAGAGAGCCTTCTCGGTAGTGGCGCCCGCCCTGTGGAACACCCTCCCATCAGATGTCAAAGAAATAAACAACTACAGTATCTGACTTTCAGAAGACATCTGAAGGCAACCCTATTTAGGGAAGTTTTTTAATGTTTGATGTTTTATTATGTTTTTAATATTCTGTTGGGAGCAGCCCAGAGTGGCTGGGGTATTAGATGGGCAGAGTATTATTATTATTATTATTATTATTATTATTTTAATATTCAAAAAAAATGCTGGGATGGCAGATATCAAATATTTTATGAACATTTATTTCATTATATTTATTTATTTCATTACACTTAATTATTTCATCCTGTCCTTCCCAACAGGATGTGTCTATTCCCCTCCAACATTTTTCCTTGCATTCTTCGACATTTTCTCCTGGTGTCAGAAACAAGGCATTTTATGGTTTTCATTGGTGTTGTTTAGGAGAGCAGGAAAGTCGTATGGACCTCAGCCACCCAGTCCATGCTGACAATTGTCTCTTGGACCCTGAGGGCAACACATGTTGGAGGGAGCCTCCTGCCTACATATACAGAGACTACAGGTGAGGCACGGAGGGGAAACACTGATATATATGTCTTTTAAAGAGCCACATGTATGTTCATTTATACACAATCCAGATGAAGGCGATATATTTATTAGGCCATCCAAAATGTCACAAAATAGTGCGAAAGCTTTTGAGGACATGTTCATCAGGCTAGATCGGGGTTTCCTAAACTTGGGTCTTCAGCTGTTTTTGGACCACAACTCCCATCATCCCTAGCTAGCAGGACCAGCAGTCAGGGATGATGGGAATTGCTTAATTTTTCTAGTAGGGCTGTTTCCCATACTATTTGGTACCATTGGTCCATGCTTACTCCTGACAGGTCTGTCTGGTTATGGTGTTTCTGGCTGCTGAAAGTAGGTGGGTTATGAGTTCTTTGTGGTGTAAGTGGGCATTGTTGTCTTGGAAGATGTTTAGTAGGGCCAATTCTGGGGTGATGTCTAATACTTGCTTAGTTATTTTACATATTTATCGTGTGGCTGTTGACCAGAATAGTTGGATTTTGGGACACTCCAACCACATGTGGAGGTATGTGCCTGTGGAGGTGCACCCTCTCCAGCATTTTGGTGAGGTTCCTGGGCGTATTAGCGCTAGTTTTCTTGGTGTTAGGTACCACCTGTAGGTGAGTTTCAAAGTGAGTTCTTTTCTTTTCGTTGATATGGATTTAAAGGGGGGTTTAGACCACATTCTGGTCCAAGGGATGATGGGAATTGTAGTCCAAAAACAGTTGAAGACCCAAGTTTGGGAACCCCCAGGCTAAATGGTAAACAAAGCAAACAGGGGGAAGAAGAAAAAAAGATGGGGGGTGGTAAAGTTGGGACTCTGCATCTTGTGAGAGTGTTAATGGAAGGAGTTTTCAGGTGTTCAAATGAGGCCCTGAAGAACCCAAAAGCTTGCACACCCTTTTGTGCCATTTTGGTGGTTTGGTTGACTTTTAAGATGGTCTAGTAAAAAGTACTGTCTTCATAATGAATTTCAAAAGGTTTCTTATGGGCCAACATGGCTGCCTTTTATGTCGGCTCGACGTTCTTTGCTTCGGTTTAAAACAACAGCCCAGGAAACATTTCGGAAAGAGTTAAAGAACGTGCTCTGGAGTTTTGTTGATGTTGCAAATGCCAATCAAGCGTGCACATGTAACAACACAAATCCTCACCCGAGCGGTGCCAGTCTCTGTGCAACGTTCATGTCCAAGCTGGCTCTTAAAGACGAGCGAAGAACCTTGGAGCAAATCCCAGCTACCCATAACTCTGCCTGTCTCCCATTTCTCTGCAGTGCAATCCTCTACCTGAACGATGACTTCCAGGGGGGGAACCTCTTTTTCACTGAGATGGATGCTGTGACTGTTACAGTGAGTCTGGGCCCACGGCTTGGGGGGGTGAGGGAATGGCTGAGAAGGAAGAACAGCTGTAGCTGGGATCCTCCCCCTCCCCTCCAACAGAACCTGTCCTTGGCAACAGCAGCAGATTCAAATTGGGCAGTCAAAGGCAAATTCAGTCAAATTTCACCCTGGAACAGGGATTAACTCCTTGTCGACTGGTATGCCTAGCTCTTCTGCTAGTCGCTGCGTTCCTTTCACCTTTCTGTCCCTCTTCAGTCCTGCATGGTGCAATTCGCTCCAGAGCAGGGGCACCAAGATCCCATCAACAGCTCACAAAGTTACCATCCAACTTAGCGCCCCAAGAAGAAGCCGAGTTGGAGAAGGGGAAACGGGTGGGCTCATGGCAAAGCCCTCGATTCACACCAGTCTCCCTCTTTCTCTTTCTGTGTGGCAGGCCGAGGTGCGCCCTAAATGTGGAAGGCTGGTGGCCTTCAGCTCTGGCGGGGAGAACCCTCACGGCGTGTGGGCTGTGACCCGTGGGAGGCGCTGTGCCATTGCCCTCTGGTACACCCTCCTCCCAGAGCATGCGGAGCAGGTAACGCAAAGCAAAGGAAGAGCTGGAGGATGTAGGGTTGAGGGAGCCAATGGGCATTGTCCAAAGGCATATATACTTAAGTAAAATGGGGGCTGGGTTGGGGTGAGATGAAGTGTTGGTGTTGACCTTTAAAGCCCTAAATGGCCTCGGCCCAGTATACCTGAAGGAGTGTCTCTACCCCCATCGTTCTGCCTGGACGCTGAGGTCCAGCTCCGAGGGCCTTCTGGTGGTTCCCTCATTGCGAGAAGCAAAGCTACAGGGAACCAGGCAGAGGGCCTTCTCGGTGGTGGCGCCCGCCCTGTGGAACGCCCTCACATCAGATGTCAAAGAGATAAACAACTACGTGACATTTAGAAGACATCTGAAGGCAGCCCTGTTCAGGGAAGTTTTTAATGTGTGACATTTTAATGTATTTTTAATCTTTGTTGGAAGCCGCCCAAAGTGGCTGGGGAAACCCAGGCAGATGGGCAGGGTACAAATAATAAATTATTGTTATTATTATTCGCTTATGCGGTGCATCCAAGCAGCGAGTGGTAGAATTTAATGCGTACACATCCTGTGGATTTCCGGAGGAGGAAATACCACTTTCTTTATTTGATTTGATTTATTGTATTTCTGTGCTGCTTTTCATTCAAATGAATCCCAAAGCGGCTTACAAACAAGAAATAACAACATGATAAGCCATAATAGAACATCGCAAATACAGCATAAATCATACAATTAACAAATCATCAATAAAACGATTACAATCTATCAAACAACAACTGAAAAATAAAATAAACATTGCAATTACAACAAAAGTCAAATGATTAACAAATCAATATGGCATAATCTATAAAACAATATTGACAACTTTAAAAAAGCTAAGCATTGTTAAGCTCATACACACACTCATAATTCATAATTTTTCACTCTACAGTGGTACCTCGGGTTAAGTACATAATTCGTTCCAGAGGTCTGTTCTTAACCTGAAACTGTTCTTAACCTGAAGCACCACTTTAGCTAATGGGTCCTCCTGCTGCTGCCTCGCCGCCAGAGCACGATTTCTGTTCTTACCCTGAAGCAAAGTTCTTAACCTGAAGCACTATTTCTGGGTTAGCGGAGTCTGTAACCTGAAGTGTATGTAACCTGAAGCATATGTAACCTAAGGCACTACTGTATTTGGTTCATTAAAATAAATATAAAATACACATAATGCATGTTATTAAGCTAGCTCCACCCTTCAGCAAGGAGACCGTCAACTAACAAAGTGCTGCCCTTCAAGACTCCTTCCGCCTTTCTAACTAGGCACACCAACTCTAGGGGGCCGAGGTGTCTTCCACCCCCTTGATACTTGTTTGAAAGGGGCCGGGTGCATGTTGTGGAAGGCTGCGCTGGCACTACGTGGCATCAGGAGATGCCACAGGGACTAGCGCAGCCTGGGATAAGGTCACACCAGCCTGCACGGTGTTGAGAGATGCTGTGGGGACCAGCACAGCCTAATGGAAGGCCGCACCAGCCTGCGTGGTATTGAGAGATGCGCGTGACGTCACACGATGTGTGGCCGTCTCCCTCAATCTTGGGGGCGACCTGGCTCCTCTGTTTCCAACACATACGGTCTTCTCACTCTCTTCTTGTAGGAACGGGCCCGGGCAGAAGAGCTGATGAGGCAGAAGGAGGCAGAACAGGAGCAGTCGCATTCAGAGGAGGAGGAGCATGGAGGTGCTGAACCCAGTGGCGCAGACTCCCCCGAGCCCCCAACTCCAAAGGGAAGAGCCAGGTCCACTAGCCAAAGGACCAGGTCAAACTCAGACTCTGGGATACAGTCCACGAGGCTGCGAGCCAGAGATGAATTCTGAGCATGAATTCTGAGCATGTTGGACATGCACAAGCCTTTCAGATTTTGTAGCAGCTCATGGCAAGTGAATGACTTGGGAGTTTTTGCCCTGTGCCAGGCATTGTGGCAAGGCAGCTTTGGTTCTCCATGTGGCACTACCAGAAATGACATCAGAAGGTGGCTTGGACCATGCCCACCCAAGTTAGCCGGAGAATCGTTTTGTCCCCACTGGGATGCCTGTGAACCAGGAATAATCCCTGCTACAACTCTCTCATCTCAGCTATAGCCTCTCATCTCTACACAGGAGTAATAGGACTGTTGTAAGGATGACAGAGATAAAGTGCTTTGACCATTCTGAAGTGCTATATAAATGGTGAATATCATTCTTCTACCAGCCCCGTTTTTCACATAGTTATATGAAGGAATTAAAAAACAGGAGGAGGGCACCATCAGATATGGATGGGTCTGATAAATTTTGTTGTGATGGAAACGTACACTTGTGGAAGCAGCTAGGCCAGAGCAGGAATCTGTGGTGGGCAAGTTAAGAAATGAACGAGTGGGGAAACCTGAACAGACCTTTCCTAGTCCTGAGGAAATGAAGAGTAAAAAAGCAGAGAGAAAGAAATACTTGCGCCAATTAATTTTCTGAGATATATCCTAGGAACAGCTTGTGCTGTCTGTGCCAGATCTTCAGTAGATCAGTGCTGCTCTCCTCCTAGGTAGGTTTTCACTATAAGGTCTAATAGCATGCTTCAAAGGTGGGTGGGTAATTCTCTTCCTACAGAGCACATAGTAATTTGTTTTGCCCCACTGTTTGTGAAACCCTTCAAAGCTAGGCAAAATAAAATGACGATATGGATCCTTTCTTCGTGAAAATCTTCCAACTTCCTGGGAAACGATGACAGCCTCCAGCAGTTCATAGAATTATCGAGTTGGAAGGGACCCCCCAAAGGTCATTTAGCCCAACCCCCCACAATAGCAGGAGTGCAGTGCAGTTCAGATATATATGAAATCTTATCCAGAGAGAAACCTTGATGGAATAAGTGGTCCAGAAGTTGCTTGCTCTCTTTAACAAGCAACCAGATATTTGTTTCCCTTCCATGGCAAATCCTTCCCATGTGGTGGTGCAGCGTATTGTATGTGTGGTAGAGCACACAGAAGAAAGCTTCCTTTTCAAACTGACCCCCGCCCTCCCTGCAAAAAGGACAGCACAGACCGGACAAGAGTCATAGAATCATAGAATCCTAGAGTTGGAAGAGACCACAAGGGCCATGGAGTCCAACCCCCTGCCAAGCAGGAAACACCATCAGAGCACTCCTGACATATGGTTGTCAAGCCTCTGCTTAAAGACCTCCAAAGAAGGAGACTCCACCACACTCCTTGGCAGCAAATTCCACTGTCAAACAGCTCTTACTGTCAGGAAGTTCTTCCTAATGTTTAGGTGGAATCATCTTTCTTGTAGTTTGGATCCATTGCTCCGTGTCCGCTTCTCTGGAGCAGCAGAAAACAACCTTTCTCCCTCCTCTATGTGACATCCTTTTATATATTTGAACATGGCTATCATATCACCCCTTAACCTCCTCTTCTACAGGCTAAACATGCCCAGCTCCCTTAGCCGTTCCTCATAAGGCATCGTTTCCAGGCCTTTGATCATTTTGGTTGCCCTCCTCTGGACACGTTCCAGTTTGTCAGTGTCCTTCTTGAATTGTGGTGCCCAGAACTGGACACAGTACTCCAGGTGAGGTCTGACCAGAGCAGAATACAGTGGCACTATTACTTCCCTTGATCTAGATGCTATACTCCTATTGATGCAGCCCAGAATTGCATTGGCTTTTTTAGCTGCCGCGTCACACTGTTGGCTCACACTGTTGGCTCACACTGTTGAGTCCTTGCTTCTGAGACAAAAATGACACAATGTTTAGGCACCACATAACACTGCACTGAAGACACACCCCACCATGTGCACAATGGTCTACCAGTGCAGACAACATGCCACAGGGTCAGACTTCACAACTAACCTTGCCTGAATGACCTACTTTGCACCGGTGGCATTTTGCATCTCTTGGGCAGAAAGTGGGAAAACTACAGGCTTGCTACTAAACATGGCAGTGAGAAAGCAGCTTTTTGAGGATGAAAGTCAACAGGTCCAACTTGGATGACTGTGATTATCGCTCCTGGGAGCTTGTCAAAACTGTGGGGACGGAGACGAAAACAGAGAGAGAGTTTCCACTGGAAGCAAAGATTTAATTAACAAATGATGCTGGGAGACAGAGGCATGGAGAAAGGGAAAACAGATGAATAGCCCTTCCCTCAGCAAACACAAAAGTGGGCGAGATTAGGAAAAGAGTTACTGATAACTAGCTATGGCTTTTAGTATTCAGACTCGCAGTTATTTAGACGTACATGGTCTCCTGTATCTGTACTGGATCACACAGCTAAACAGCAGGGAGGACGAGAACTTCTGGATTGTTTACAGGTTTCCAGTCTGGGATAAACACAATCCAGTGTTGTTCCTGCGCAGGGGATTAGCATCCAGAGATGGGATTATATTGTAGTCAAACAGAAGCTGAGAGGGGAGAGTATCAAAGATGGCAATGACCCCATTCCTGGGAGGGGCCTGGGCCTTTGGGCAGACGAATTGGTGGCCCAAGCGTTGCTTTTGCACCGCAAGGGACTCGCAGAATTACAGCTGGCTTCCCACTTTGCCTTATGCATCCACACAACAGGATATGACATAGCCACATGAGGAAGAAAAGCACAATTCACCTGAGTGCACTTTTTAAAAACCTTTTTTTAAAAAAAAATTGTGTGAAAGTGCAAATAAAGCTAAAGGTAAAGGGCCCCCTGACCATTAGGTCCAGTCGTGGCCGACTCTGGGGCTGCGGTGCTCATCTCGCTTTATTGGCCGAGGGAGCCGGCGTACAGCTTCCGGGTCATGTGGCCAGCATGACTAAGCCGCTTCTGGTGAACCAGAGCAGCGCACGGAAATGCTGTTTACCTTCCCACTGGAGTGGTACCTATTTATCTACTTGCACTTTGACGTGCTTTCGAACTGCTAGGTTGGCAGGAGCAGGGACCGAGCAACGGGAGCTCACCCCGTCACGGGGATTCGAACCGCCAACCTTCTGATCGGCAAGTCCTAGGCTCTGTGGTTTAACCCACAGCGCCACCCGCATCCCAAAAATGCAAATACTACTGAGCAATTACTTCAATAACTTTTTTGAATGTTTTAGGTCAAATTATAAAGGGGAGGGGGGAGGAGCACACTGAAAAGGATGTTGACTGTAAAGACCAGAAAACATGGAACACCTTTGCAGCTTCAAGGGTGCCCCTTGCTGAGACTCTTAATCTCGGGTTCGTGGGTTCGAGTCCCACCCTGGCCAAAAGATTCCTGCATTGCAGGGGGTTGAAGCAGATGCTTGTGGGGGGGGGTCCCCTTTCAACTCTACAATTCAAATTAAAAGTCTTAATATATTTTTTTAAAAAAAAAATTAACATGTTGATAAAATGGCACCTCCAGGTATGGAAATAGTGAGCATTTGCTGAAAAGTAGGTGGGAATTGGCTCAGCTGCCCAATATGTCACCACACTTTTCAAAACAGCATCTCTTAAAAAGATGGAAGAACAAGACCGCAGTATCAGTGGAGATTCAAACCCCCCCCCTTTAAAAAGTCAGATTTTCTGCAATCGGAAAAACAAGCGTGGTGAAAAGACAAGAGAACGATGATTTGGTGACAACATCATACACAAGGCCCTATAAAAAGTGAGTGAACCAAGTGGGATTATCCAATATGGAATCACCCTTAGGCTCTGGGGCAACAGCATGGAAGCCGAGATGATGGGAGATAAAAGACAAAACTAAGCAGAACATGAGTTACTTAAACTAGGATTGCTCAGTCAGCAGAGCATGAGGCTCTTAATCTCAGGGTTGTGGATTCGAGCCCCAAATTGGGCAAAAGATTTCTGCATTGCAGGGGGTTGGATTACACGACCCCTTGCGGTCCCTTCCAACTCGACAGTTCCACAATTCTATGAGGCAGCCATTTTTTGATCTCCTGAAATCTTCAGGTGCTTCAAGACGCTGTTTTGCCATCAAATACCACCAGCAAATTCAGGCTACGCGGTTAAAGTGGATTTGGTGCTATCCTGCAACAAACCTATTCCCTCACAAAAAAAATCAGACTTTGCAATAAGGCAAATGCCAGGAAATTCTGCTGTAAAGTGTGAGATAGCAAATGTTTTCGTCGTGCAACCTCACTGAAAACAGATCGCAGCGCAAAAGCATCAAACGTCATAATACCACCCTGCAAACTTTGTGCAATCAAATCAGGAAGGATGGTCAATAAACGGGTCATCTGGAAGCAACCTTTGTCGGAAAGCAGCAAAACCCTACTGGATTGGATCCAGACTATAGCACTGGGGCGGGAGGAGGCTTAACCCTTGCCATTCCAGGATTGAGGGCTAAGCATGGTGCTATAAAAACAGCCCTGGATGATGATCTGTTTCATACGTTGTCTGTGGCTCCTGACTGCCTGGCCACTTGATGGGAGCTAATCCAGTCCCAATGAGCTTGGGAAGATATGGGATGGCCAAGCAGGTGCTTTTGTGTGTGTTACACATTTGCTTCAATGCGATTCTGATAAAAACTGATAGGTGGTTTGCTCCCACCTGTTGCTGCTGCTGAGTAGAAGCTAAGATGCCTCAACTCGAAAGTTTCGCCTCACTCGCAAAACTCATTAGGTAGCCACAGGCAAATAGCAATCTCAGCCTTAGCTACTCATCTGCATTATGAGGATAATGCTGTGCTTCCACACGGGGCTGCCCAAAGGATTACTGAAGCACCAAGAATGCTTGAAATGAACAATATAAATGCTAAGTGTTATTACTATTATCCTACTCTAAAGGGAACCAGGGAGAACTAAATGCGTTTCCCCCTTTCCATTCTCTCTGCAACATCTGCTTCCCTATCCAATTGCCCTTTTCTCCTGTACATCCAGAGCTCATTTCAAATCCAGTTGTCACAGATGATGCTCATTTTGCGGGAGGAAGAGGGCGCATTACTAGCCCCTCAGGGGGCTAGTCGGCCTCAGATCCATGTAAGGTCCCTGGCCCTCTCAGCATGGTGGGCTACCTCTGGCCCAGAAGTGGCCCAGCTGATTAGATTGATGGCTTCCTGACGTCAGAATGCGATCCGTTAAAAGGTATTTATCTCAGGCTTGGGCCAAAGCTGCAGGAGAGATTAAAAGAGATTGAGGCCAAGATAATCCTTCTACAGCAACATCCCAGAACACAGCTGCCAAAAGGCCTCCGACCAAATGCATTTGCCAGCCCACCGAACACCTTTTTTTCTAGAATACAGTTGCCTCAATTATTGCCCTAAGGTGTGTGT